GCAGGGCCAAGAGGATGCAGGGATCAAGCGACGTGGGCCACTCTGTAAGATGAGAGAACCAGAGGGAGGGGAAAACCTTTCGGGGGATTTGTATCGCAGAAGTGCCTGTCGATTGTCAGAAAGAGCTGCGGTTACATCGTGGGATGTAGCTGCATCGCTATCTCTCATCCTCAACAAGAATGACCTTCAAACCCCGCGGCCGCTCTCTGGGGCAAGTCGATTGGCGATTGATGCAAGGAACAGAGCAAAGGGCGAGCAGGTGTAGCAGATAGTCAGGAACCAGCGCGAGTGTCTAATTCAAGAGGTGTCTAGACGCACTTACACCTCGTGGGCGAGGCAAGGCACCGTTTGGTGTCGTCATGTGTCTCCTGGTAACCCCCCTCCTCCAGATTATGCGTCGTTGCTTTTGATGCAAGTGGCAGACTGACCTGACTGACTAGTTGACTGACTTGGTGGTGGTGCATCGTGCGTAGGTATCGTCTGCCCCTCAATACAGTAGCCATCTACTTACCTTACCTTAGGCTTGCATGAGAGAGACACATCAAGGGGGTGCTTGATATTGCGACTCTGTGGACTCTGTGGAGAGCAGTGTTATAGTACTTGCATCCCGAGGTCAAGCTAAAGAGGACAGACCGCGTGTGATAGGTTCGTCGCAAGGCAACGCCCCGGGCACGTCCCCATCTTGCATCTCCACTGGGCTTTTCCTTAGCGTCTTGTAACGGGCGAGCTCACCAGGTACACCCACGGATCCAAGCCCAGGAGCCCAGTCACTCCCGCCTGTCTACTTGACAGCACCCTTATTAGGCGTTCTATTCCTCTTCCCTCCCCCCCAACTCTTTCTCACCGTCCATTCACCACTCAACACCATCAACTTGCGATCACGACCTCTTCCCGTTGTTGCTGCGCCAGACATTGCTGAGCACCCGTGCGCCAGCGACCAATCCGGCACACTGTCAAACTGGCGCATTCTGGGAACGCCGTTTTCGGGGTTCTCCAACTGTCTCGCATTCCAGTCTCAAGCGCATTGCAAGACAACCCGTCTCGAGACGTGTCGCAACCCGTCGCAACTTTTACTTATTCAGCTCGTCGACCCCAAACACAACAGCGAACATTCTCTTCTTTACGAATACTTGAGAGCAGCTCTTCCAGACGACGTTGAACCTCAACACCCACAATCATGTTAATGCCATCCGCCTTCTCTTGCGACTCGTCGCAACCACCTCTGACCCGACTGCAATCGGCGCTCTTCGCTTCTCCTCCAGCGAGCCCTCCCCAGCTCTCTACCCAGAATGCAATTGGCAACATCTTCACTACATGCCGAAATCTTCAGTCGCTTCTGGCGGCGCCAATGCCAATTCAGCCAACGGCGCCTATCACACCGCCGACAACGTCACACGCCCAGCTACCTACACCACCTATGGCCCATGCACCTTCGCCTATGAAGCTTCGCCTGCGATCTCGCAAGAGCGATGCCAATATCTCCAGCGAAAATTCCATCATTCAGCGCAAGCGCATTGTGAAGCGCGCGCCGCCTCGAGGGCTCAACAAGAGGCGTCGGGCCCTTGATGACGACATAGGCCGGGATGACGATGACTGCAACAGCGACCTGGAGTTCAACGTGGAAGACGAGAGGGATGTGCACGCTATCGATGATGTTGAGGAGCTACCTCAACGACCGCAAACACCGAAGCGAGCGCGCATCGCGCCTGAAGCCATACCTCTTGGGCTTGAGCGCTCCGACTTCCATACGCTACACGCGGACGGCATTCCAGACGACAGCAAGGCAGAGGGCACAGATGTCCAAGCTGAGGCCGATGGCGAGCTCTGGAGCACCGAGGAGGACCGGATGCTTGTAGAGCTTGTGCTTGAGAAGCTGAAGCTGTCAAAGTCCGAATGGCAAGACTGTGCGCGAAGTCTAGGCAAGGACCGCAATAGTCTCAGCCGACGTTGGAAGAGTCTTGTGCTTCAAGGCGACGTGGGACTCAAGAGGAGTAGTCGGCGAGGCAAGATCCATTCTACTTGGAGGTGATCGCTATATGCGCGAGTCGCTTTTCTCTTCTTGCAGGAGCCAATTGGCTCCAAATTACCACTGTATTCATACACTTTCTAATGTATACTAATTATCATATGGGGGACTGGGATCAGGCGTTCGTATATGAACCTCAAGAGGATCACGGAACTGGAACATTTGCATTTTTCTGGATTTGAACGATATCCTTATAGCTTCAGTGCTGACTACGCTCGATCTCTTGTCAGTTTGCGACTCATAGTCCTATACGTGGCGGTTGTTCTACCGCGAGATCAAAAAATATTATCTCTTCATCAATCTTGACTTTCAAGACGCTCAAAGTGACAAGCGCCGCTTCATCGGCAATCAATTTCAGGGTCCTGAACTAGAGCAGATTATCTCCTGATGTGGATGGCTTAGGCAAGGAAACCCCATTTACAAATTCTCCTTGCCTGATCTCCGAGACCCGAGTCTAGTGTTAATTTCCTGAACCCCGATTTTCTGCTCCTCGAGCTCTACAAAGTTACTATGACAGACAATAGAGCCATGATTACCGTATGATGAGATGAATCGCGTCCTATGTCTTAGTGGAGCTAGGGATGAAGAAAGCCCTCGGCTTCTGGTACCCCTTACCCTCTCCCGTCTACTGACCTTGAGGCGACCTTTGTCTGAGCGTCTCTCGAACCAAATCGGTGTCCACAACACATGTCCGACGAAGGGAGCTCGGGCTCAGCTCGCTGTTCTGCAATTCCATTTCAGAAACACGCACAGCTGCCATATGATTGATCACAGGCCGCATTGGACTTACACCGTGAAGATCCATGGGAGCTTTGACCTTATTCAAGCTGCAGAGCACAGATCGCTCCCGCTTGCTTGCCTATATCAATCTGCACGAAATTATACAGGCCGCCGCCCACGAAGCGAAGCCCGCCCAGGGTCGAGAATAGAAGCACGGGCTCGTGCGCTGTCCCCGGCTATGGGCCAGTCACGGCGTCGCGATGTGATCTGTGTTTCAAGTTCCCATCTGACCGCTTCTCCCCGATAACGGGAAAGATGGTTCCCCCACTTGCGTTTCAAACCCCGTCGTCTTCTCACAAACACCCCCTGACTTCCCGTGACAGGCTCAGAGATGTTTCCGGCAGGGCATCTTTTGATTAACAGACCATGGTGATGTGCTATATTCGTCTATGGACTATACATCCCTTTGCAGCCGCGTGGTCGACTCGACTTGACACTCGACCCGCCTGTGCAGCACAGGAGAGGAGAAGTCGCTTCTAATCTCGGTTTGAGCCGCCCGAACCTGCAAGGCATATAGGACGTCTTGCTTGTGCGCTCAATTGATAGCAGCCGTGTGTTAATGTCGCTTCCTCCCGCCTCAGAAATGGTGCTGGGCCAGAGGCGAGCAGTGGTTGACATCGCAGTTGAAGGACTGCGCCTGGCTCAGTTAACTGGCAGCGCGGAGATGGTGTCTAAGCGCAAGGACTGATTGAAAGACAGACCCAAAAGTGCCTACAACCCGTCGAACATTGAGATGAAAGCGAGGGCATGACACCACACAAATTCAAATCACCTTTGAGAAAGAGAGAGTAGTGCGGTATATTTTTAATTCATTCAACACATCAATGGTATCCTCCGGTTTTGCTAGATCACACGAAGTAACCATGAGCCCCTATCGCAAATTGAACCTAGTCATCCTTGGAACCCCCTAACCCTAACGCCGTCCATACCCATATTCATTTGGCCGTCAAGGATCACCAGCCATCTAGGACTTTGGCATAAACATACAGTCCCTTGGCTGGCCGTGATGTGATACCACCTTTGATGGCAATCTTCGTCTCGTCCATTTCCTCCTTGTTCTTCAAACTGAACTCGAAACGTCCTACCCAAGCTGCCAGGAGACAAGCAAATTCGGCTCTGGCGAATGACATGCCTATGCAACTCCTAGGGCCATGCAGGAAAGTCAGGAATGCGTAATTCGAGCTCGCTCCGCCGCTCGCGGCCTGCTTGTCTCCCTCGAACTTGGGGATCCAACGATCGGGGTTGAAAGTCAGGGCGTCCGGGCCCCAGAGATGCACGTCCTTGTTCGTGGCGGCCGGGGAGAGGATGATTCTCGTGCCCTTGGGGATCTTCTGGCCTTCAATGGTTGTTTCGACAGCAGTCTCGCGCATAGTCATGGGTACAGGACTCCAGTAACGCAGCACTTCCGAGCATACGGCATTCAGGTACGGCAGGTGGTCAATGTCGAGGCTGGAAATGCTTGCGGCATCATTCAGCGAAGGCAGATTCGATCTGACTTCCTCGCGCAGACGGGTCTGTATCTCGGGGTATCTAGACAATAAATAGGTGGCCCATGTCATCGAAGAGGCCGTTGTCTCGTGTCCAGCAGCCAGAAAAGTCATGAGCTGGTCAACAAGGTTGTCCTCGGTGAAGCCGCCACTTTCGAGGGCTACCGACAGAATGTCGACATCTGTCAGCTCTTTGCGCTCGAGCTTGTGCTTCTTCTCGCGGATGAGGTCGCGGCATGTAGAGCGGATGACCTTTGCTGCCGCAGCAATGTCTTCATTTCGCTTGACTGGAATAGCACTAATCAGCCAGCCCGGGAAGACAAGCCCCATCAGCGTGAGTATTTGCGCCTGCCGAGAGGGTTTGAAGAGGTGATTGTACGTCTTGAACAGAGGATTCTGCGTGTCGCGAATAGCACCGAAGTCCCGACCTAGCCCAGCGACGCCGATGATGTCGAGCGTCATCCGCGAAGCCCAACTTCCCACCTCGACCACCGCGGTGGTCTTTCCGTCCAGTTCACTGCCCTTCTCTAGGTCTTGCGGAGCAGGGGTCTTTGCCGCCTCTGAAAGAACATATTCTGTCAGCGCCTGGACGCCTTCTCTGCCCTTATCCCAAAAGACAGGATAGAGATCCTTGATGTGCCTGAACGCGAAGGCGGGCATAAGATTCCGCCTCTGCAGCTTATGTTCGTCGCCTTCTGCCAGTAAAATGCCAACCCCTAGAATCCGACCTAGCGTGAATCTGATCTGACCAGGTTTCTTAAAGTCGTAGCTCTTCGTGACTAGAACCTCAGATATTGCTTTCGCAGACGTGACGAGTACACGCTCCTGGTTTAGCAGACCTTTATATCTGATAAGGCCGTTGTTGGGAATACTGGACACCCTACTGATGTGTCAATATTCTGTCTTCAAAAGTTGTCGGAACCAGCCTACCATTTCAGCTGCGGCACACCCGTAGGAGTTCCTGCTATCATCGCATATTGACCATTCCACCAAGAATTGCCACCTGGCTCTGGTAAGGAGCGGAGGCTTGAAAAGACATTGGGGTAGAGGATGACTTTCCACAGAACCCAACCGAGGAAATGGAGTAGCCAGATTTCAATGAAGGCTCCCAGGAAGGAGAGTACGCCAGCTCCTTCTCCTCGAATGGTCGTGTAATACGCTATAATGGCGGAGTTCACGGTCATCAACCGCCAAGGTATAGCCATGCTGCACGGGTTTCGAGTGTCGAACTTGATGCTAATATTCGAGTCACAAATAAGGCGACTCTTCACCTTGCGGAAGACCGACAGGTATTATTAAAGGCCAGCGAACAAGCTGTGCCCTCCTCCAGGCAAAAGCACGGTGGCGTTCAGTGTCAAGCACGCCACGTGCAAATTAGCATGAGGCTGGATAGCTCTTGGGGCCGAGGCAAACTAAATGGAAGAGAAAACGGCCATCTTTCGAGATGGAAGGAGGATAGAAAAAGGGAAATCCAATTCTGAAGAACGACTAATCACATTAAAGCCATTTCAAAAGGAAAAGAAATGCCGATAAGGTCACCAATAGTCGTTGATCCACCAGCCACGATGCGACCGGTTTCAGAGAGCTTGTGAGCTGGGGGATGGGCGTTCCCGCGAAGCGATTCCCCGAAACAGCCCCTGGATGCGAGGTTTTTAGTGGGCTGGTAGGTGCGCCGCGGCGGCATGACCGAAGGCGATAGGTCCGTCCAGGAGGCAAGCGGCCGAAATGGTTGCAGGGCGGCCGTCGCACTATGCTGCTTCAAGCTCCGGCGGAGTGGAAACACTTCCGTTCAGCTTGTCGAAAAGCACAATCCATGGATGGCAGATTCCCACCACCCCAGTCTCTGCTTCAGGTAAGATCCGGGGAAGCTCTCCACATGTCTGGCGGCTCTGCCGTGATTCTCGGTCCCCCTTTGCCTCTCCCTGATGCTTTGCATGCAGGCAGGAGGGTCTCGGGGTCTCGGATAGCCACATGATCACACTGTTGATCTAAGTAGAGCAACACATCTCGCCGCACGGGAACGGAGCCCCGGGGGGTTCAACTCTCTCGTTGCCGCGCTTCGGGTAATATTCCCCAGCGGAGGTGGTGATACCCCGTATTACCCGTGGTGGAGGAGAATAGCAAATCAGGGAAACATTCGCAAGGTTGAGCTGAACTCCAAGATGAAGCTCTCTTCCTACCCATCCCCAAGCTGCCCAGAACATCCATCGACAGGGGCTGGATCTTGCGGAAACGCTTGTTAGGCGAAAAGCTTGGCGATCATAGACACTTCATCCTACCATTCTTGCATGGTTGTGGGATCCAGAGGTATGGTTTGAGTTCTTACGCAGCTCTCTAATGTGTATTCAGGCCTTGAAAGGTGGTATTATGCGCTGCGCCGCTGACTGGGCTTTCATCCTCCGGGTAGGGCGAAGCAGACTCTTCGGCGACACATACATTCCCCGCAGATAGACTTAGACACGATTGGACGAATATTGACCGACATCGCTTGATATACGCCCTACAAGTGACTCAACCGATGTCAAACATGGAGTGGACAAGCAGACTTCTACGGCAATTCCAAATCAAATGAATTTGTGCTGTGGGTCATTGGCAATCACGAGGTGACACTATATTTGAATATTCAAAACATCTTCATAATGCCAGCTATAACTACAGACACAACCACTTATATCCCACCCATCCGCCATGCCTCTAGACAATTGGTCCGCGAATGGGGCTTCCTCAGACCAACACTGGCTGGCACGACCCTTTCACCGTCAGCGGTCCACTGCCTGCTTGAGATTGGAGACCACAACATCAATACGATCCCTGATTTGTGTCATGTTCTCGCGATCGAGAAGGCCGAACTAAAACGAACTCTGTATGAACTAGTCTCTACCGAGAATGTACAATCCGAGTGGACTGGCCAGGAGCAGATTCTATCGATTACGGCAAAGGGTAGGGAGACCTTGACCGCCGTCAATCAACTCGCAGTCGACCAAATCCAGAAAGCCTTAGCTGTATCGCCTCCTGCCACTGCAGATCGCATTCTCGATGGCCTAAAGTTGTATGCCGAGGCATTGCAGGCCGAGAGGCTACGGTCCGTAGCCTCGGGCCTTACTAAGCCAGCCTATGTGCCCGAGATCAAGATCGTAGCAGGGTACACCCCCGGAGTCCTGGGAAGGACTCTGGATATGCATTTGAATTATTATTGGAAAACCTGCCAATGGGGTCACAGCTTCGAGGTCGAGTTGTCAAAGAGCTTGACACGACTGCTAGGCGAGTTAAGTCAACCCCAGAACCAGGTCTGGGCTGCAATCGAAAGCTCTCCATATACCGGCGGTGTTGAGCGTATTGTCGGGGTGATTTGGCTCGAGGGCTCATCGTACGGACCAAAACACGGGCAACTGCGAGCGTTCATCGTTGAGGATCATCTGAGAGGCTTGGGAGTCGGTCGACGACTGTTTGAACAGCTCATGGATTCTGTCCATCAGCTAGGCCTAGAGAAGATGACCTTGTTCACGCGCAGAGACTTGGTCTCTGCAAGGAAGCTTTACGAGGAAGCCGGCTTTTTCTTGATCAGGGAGGAAGACGAGATCAAATGGGGCCAGCCGAACCGGACAATGGAGTATCTTTGGGCAAGTGAGAACCACGTGAAGGCGGAAGGAGAGAGGTCGAGAGTAGTTTCATGATTGCAAAAGCAAAAACATAAACTCCAGCCCGTCATTTCTCTAGTCGGCATAGAAGAATCCCAGTGCCCATAGCCCTGCCCTCCAGGTGGCCCAAGACGACGCAGCTGCTAGTAGGCCAAGAACCACCAGAACGGTAGTTCTGACTTCGAAGGCATCAGTGACCTCCATCTTCATCAGCTTTCGCTGCTTGCTGTGGTAATACCACTCTCCGCCATCGTCGTCCGCTGAGTTTCGCGTGCGGTCCATTCGAGCGCCCCGGTCTTTCTGTCGTCTGTAGACAATGTGATGAAGCCACTCCGGCAATCGTCCTGGCCGTTGAGAATGATAATGTGACCTCCTCACTGTATTCCGGAAATCCACCCAGGCAAGCGACACTAGAAATGAAACAAATATGATCGGCGTCATGACCAGCTAGACGGTTTGAATAAACACTCTCATATGTCATGTTAAGTAGGTGATAAGCTTACATTGTATATTGTTGACTGTTTCAAGGGAGCTTCCCCTCTGTTAGGAGCTACAGGGTTTGGCGGCGTCATAGCTCTGTTAGTCACTAATACGAGTTGTGATACTTGCAAAGAGTACAGAAGAGGAGTCAACGCAGTGTTGAGCGAGCAAGAGGCTTCATAAGTCGTCTAAATATCAAGAAAATATGCAGGCACTCGCGTTCTTCACACGTATGTGTTGGGCTCAGCCACGTTTTTGACAAGTTGTGCGAGATGTCTCTGATCGGCATTCAATTCTCATTGGAATTCCGGGGCATCCGCCCGCGCAGCCACGAAACGAACGTCACCAAAGAAGCAATACGCGTGTTAGGTCAGGCTGTGGAGCTAAGGCAACACACCCACCATTCTAGAACAACAGACATCTCTCTTCACATGCATCTCTGATTCATAATTTGGGTGCATTTGGTCTGAGAATACCAGAGTTGGCCATAGCCATTGTCGTGTCAAAGTTAGTCAATTGGCTACATGATTGATTGTAGTGCATTTCTTTGGTCCTGGTTAACCATGTGCTAAATTTGACAGCTTTAGGCGTCTCACAGACTGAGAATCGCTTCGCTTATGGGAGAGCGATGCACTCAATCTCGACATCCACGCCCTTGGGCAGCTGCTTTACAGCAACGCAGCTTCTGGCAGGCTTATGGGTGAACCACTTGGCATACTCCTCGTTCATAGACTATGAAAACGTGTAATGTTAGCAGGAACGGGACACGCCACAGCATGGAGAGAGGGGACTAACGGCAAAGTTGGCCATGTCCGTCAGGAAGATGTTGACCTTGACAACCTTGGCAATGCTTGAGCCGGCCTCGGTGAGGACAGCCTTCAGGTTGGCAATCGAGGCCGCAGTCTTCTCCTGAATGGTTCCCTCAACCAGCTGGCCATCGGCAGTGCATGGGATCTGGCCTGAGCAGTAGATGGCATTGGGGGTCTTGATGGCTTGGGACTAGACGGATACGATTAGACAACGAACAAGCCATGACCGACATCCCGAGGGATCATACATAAGGCCCTTGAACTATTCAAGGAGTCAGCAATGTTCAATTGGTAGATTCAAGAGGTCGGCATATGCATTGTACGTACCAGGAGCCGCCTCCTTGGTGTAGACGATTGAAGCCTCGCTAGACATGTTGCGTGCGAATGTGGATGGCGGGGTAAGGCGTGATGGTCGGTGCAGCGGTCTAGTGAGAGGCAGACGGAGAAGGGCTGGAGCAGTCCGCGTAATTGAGGTCATTAAGTACAATCACAAGGGCTTGAAGCTTTGGGATTCGTGGACGAGGACTAACGAGAAAGAATTTCAATCGGCGTGAGCACGTCACGGTTTGGTGCCTCCGTACTTCGGACGGCACTCCGCACTAAATACCTATGCTGCTACAACGGAAGCTCAAAAAATACTGAGCTATAGGCCTGCCCGCCCCCCACGGCGGAAGCTCCTGGGGCGCCCAGCAGAGCAGACTAAGCAGCGCCATATACAGCGACAAAATCTCATATGATGAACAATACAGAGTATTAGATGATGCGTAGTCTAGTTCATGGTCTTGCTCTTTTATCAACGGGATGTTCTCAATTAAGCAACCTCTTCTGGCGAATGCAGCAAGGTGGTTAGGAACACTAGGAGCTTGGGTTTGCTTATCGTTATCGGGGGAGAGGGAGCTTTGACCACCTGCACCTAGGTGCACCTTCCCAGGTCCAGCCCGTCATTTGTGGAGTCCTTTTTTTGCGGCTGGAGGGCCAAGTGTCCATTCCCCAAAGTCAGTCTCCCTGCCACATTAAGTTATAGTGAAGTGCGTAACAAGACTCGTCAAGAGGTCAGGGGTTAATCTATAACTTTTGCCCTTTCGATATTTTCTTTCCTACATCGTGTCAAGCTTCTATTTTTCGAGCATTTGTCTCGCATTTCTTCATACTTTCCTTCACATTCATCTTCTTTTATTCACAGACACGGCTTGGTTGAGTCCAGCGCCCTTTCCTGTCTGTCCTCTCCGTAAGTACAATTCCCGTGGAATCTGGGTCTTGAGAGCTGTCAGCTCCTTCGTCAGCCCAACACTGCTTGTGCATCAATCATTCTGACATCTCAATTACACAGTTCCGTATTGAATCGCCCACCATGGCGGCAACTCCAACTCCTCAGGGGTCTCTTCGCCAGAGAAATGTTGGCGGCAAGAAGAAGGATCCCGCTGTGGCAACAGGATCCGATGCCGACTTCGACAGCATCGTCAAAGCGAACACTCCTCCTTCTACTGCCGGTTCCGAGCGAGACTACAAACTCGTGCTTGTTGTCATCACCGCATTGGCCTTTTTGACAAGATTCTGGGGTATTAGCCACCCTAACGAAGTCGTCTTTGACGAGGTCCATTTTGGCAAGGTACGTCTTCCCCTGCTGCCATACAACCTTGATCCTTGAACAGGTGAACTGAACGGTATCCGTATTTTAGTTTGCCTCCTACTACCTCGAGCGAACATACTTCTTCGATGTTCATCCGCCTTTCGGCAAGCTCCTTTTCGCCTTCATTGGCTGGGCAGTCGGATATGATGGTCACTTTCACTTCGAGAATATCGGTGATTCGTACATTGCCAACAAGGTTCCATACGTTGCGTTCCGATCTGTGCCGGCCCTGTTGGGTGCCCTGACCGTTTCTGTCGTCTATATGATCATGTGGGAGTCTGGTTACAGCCTGCCTGCCTGCATTGTTGCAGCTGGCCTTGTGCTACTCGACAACGCCCACATCGGACAGACCAGATTGATCCTCCTGGATGCAACGCTCGTTTTCGCAATGGCGTGCAGCTTGCTCTTCTACATCAAGTTTTATAAGCTCCGACATGAGCCTTTCTCGCGAAAGTGGTGGAAGTGGCTTATTTTGACTGGATTCGCGTTGTCTTGCGACATTTCCACCAAGTACGTTGGTACCTTCGCCTTCGTTGCCATCGGCTCGGCCGTTGTGATCGATCTATGGGACCTTCTCGATATCAAGAGACCTGGCGGAGCCTTAAGCTTGCCCGACTTTGGGAAGCACTTCGCCGCAAGAGCCTTCGGATTGATAGTGATGCCTTTCATCTTCTACCTCTTCTGGTTCCAGGTCCACTTCTCAATCTTGACCCGATCTGGCCCTGGCGATGACTTCATGACTCCCGAGTTTCAGGAGACACTCAGCGACAACGTTATGTTGGCGAATGCTGTTACTATTGACTACTACGACACAATCACCCTAAGACACAAGGAGACCAAGACTTATCTTCACAGTCACGAGGATCGTTACCCTCTGAGATACGATGATGGCCGTGTTTCCAGCCAGGGCCAGCAAGTTACGGGATATCCTTACAATGACACCAACAACTACTGGCAAGTTATTCCTGTCGAAGACGACCATAAGATGGGCCGCCATGTCAAGAATCACGACCTGGTCAGACTGCGACACATTGTCACGGATACTATGCTCCTGTCGCACGATGTTGCGTCACCTTACTATCCGACCAACCAGGAATTTACCACGGTGTCCATGGCTGACGCGTATGGTGACCGTCTTCAGGATACCCTCTTCGAAATTCGTATCGAGAACGGTAAACAGGGACAAGAGTTCAAGAGCATTTCGGGCCATTTCAAATTGATTCACAATCCCAGCAAAGTTGCTATGTGGACCCACACCACGCCGCTCCCAGAATGGGGACATAAGCAACAGGAGATTAACGGAAACAAACAACTTGCCGCGAGCTCCAATGTCTGGTTCATTGAGGATATCCCCTCTCTACCAGCAGATCACAAGAGACGTGAGAAGCCAGAGCGCAAGGTCAAGACTCTGCCATTCTTGAGGAAGTGGTTCGAGCTTCAACGCTCCATGTTCTGGCACAACAATCAGTTGACCAGCAGCCACCCGTATGCCTCACTGCCATACCAGTGGCCATTCCTGCTCCGAGGTGTGAGCTTCTGGACTCAGAACGATACTCGCCAGCAAATCTATTTCCTAGGAAACCCTGTTGGCTGGTGGATTGCCAGCAGCTTGCTCGCGGTCTATGCTGGCATTATCGCTGCTGATCAGTTCTCTCTCCGCCGCGGAATGGACGCGTTGGATCACAGTAAGTATCACAATAGCCACTCATTTACGAAACCCGGCTGATGTCAACTAGGAACGCGTTCGCGTCTGTACAACTCTACAGGATTCTTCTTCCTGGCATGGGCGACCCATTATTTCCCTTTCTACGTCATGGGCCGTCAGCTGTTCTTGCATCACTATCTTCCAGCACATTTAGCTTCTACGCTTGTAACCGGTGCACTTGTAGAATTTGTTTTCAACGCTGAGCCAGTGGAGAATGAGATTACATATCAGGCAGTGAAGGCCGGCAAGAAGCCAGCGCCAGGTCCTAAGAAACACATCACTGCGCGCGAGCGATTTGCCGGCCAGAGCATGACAGGGGCTTGGATCGCCTGTCTGGTAATCCTCGCGCTCGCCTTCGCCGGTTGGTACTTCTTCTTGCCATTGACCTACGGTTACCCTGGCCTGTCTGTCGAGGAGGTGCTGAGGAGGAAGTGGCTCGGCTACGATCTGCACTTCGCGAAATAAGCGTGCTGCCAACTTCGAGCAGCAGAAAGATGTGTAACATCATGACCTGGATCATGTTAGAATGGGGACGGAAGTGTAAGATCTGCGGGGCGGCGTCGGGGACCAGTGGGTGAGAGACCGCAAAGGGAAAATGAGATGGGTATATCACATATTTCCCTACATGGACATAAAAAGCTACTTGGCGTTTCCTTATCGCATTTTGGGGGATCTCTGTGCATCAATAAACACCAGATTTCTTGCAGCTCTTACATTGTGATGATGATATTATTTGCTGTGTTCCTAGAGAACACTGACCGCCGCTGCAATGATAAGAGAATATATAGGGAATGGCCACGACCGTAACATACAAAGAAAGTAGACCAAGGCGTTATCCTTCAATGCAACTCATTTATCCACCAACTTTAGTAGAGATGATCTTAGACCTCTCAAATGTATAGTTGCCCTGCTCGACCGAAAGATGATCTCTTCAATCATTGGGGTTATTAATTTGACCATCATTCATGGTTCAAATTCATATCCATCACATCCATATGAAACATGGAAGGTTAATGGTCAGCTCAACGTATCTTCCTCAACTAGATAATGTGAAGGAAATAATTGGGACAATTGTCCGGTCACACGTTAAGAGGCATCGAGGTTTTTTCCTCTCCATGTTCTCGGCAACCGCACTGCAATTCAGCGCCATGACCGCGTTGTTCCCTAGGCTTGGGTACACGCCTTGCAGGTAGCAAAATACATCAATTTCGACAGGACAACATTCTCACCGAATCAGCCTACCGTCGAGGGATCGCCCGACATGATGGTTTTACCAGTGACAGTCCTCGATATTCGCCACTGGTCTGATCAAACCAACTTGGCCCGCCTTCTTCGTGCGAGCAGGCATGTTCTCGTGATAGAAAAGAGGCAGGTCTTGGTCATGTCTGGTCGATATTTTCGGTGAGTTTTTGGGGGATGTAAGACTATTAAACCTGGATGATGGACATCGAGTTCACTTTAGTAACTTCAAAACAACTATATATCCCTTCACCATGGCTTGAAAGAAACGAGGCCACACAATGCCTTTATACTTGGTGTATTTATCTTTCAAAGGCAGCCTCAAAGAGAACCAGCTTCTTGTCTCATATCGCAGCTGCCATTGCGAGACAGTAATCATTTCCGAAGGGTGGTGGCTATCATCTACTGCAGTCACTTTCGAGATGTTCAATGGGCATGTCATCATGAAATCTACACTGCTAAAGTTCATTTCTGCTAGGAATACTGGGGAGTGGCTATCTCTACAGAACACGACCAATTGAGTAAGGAGACAAATAAAACGACGTGCTTTGGGTTGATAGTACCAGAGCATATGTGTCGGACAGAAATAATACGGTGAAGAGAAAAGTCATGACCTGAAATCCACCATCTAATAGTTTTGGTCTTCATAAACGCCCTTGCCATCAGTTTTCTCTATCTTTTAAGAGCCATACCATCCTTATCATAATCTATACTTCATACATATGTTACAACTTCGTGAATAAATAAAGAATCGGATTGATCTATGCACTGTTGCTCGTGGATGGTTCGCTCTTGGATTGAACGCGGCGAGAATATCGGGGATGCTTGAATTTACCCTTCTCACCCCTGTGACATTTTGTCTCTGGTTCGGTTGACTGATTTGCCCCATCTTCTTGGGGAATCTTGCTATACCCTTCTTTGCTTGATAGAGGGAGAGAGGCGGGTAGGTTTTCGGCCATATCTGCGAATCGAATGACTGGTTGTGTAGGTGGTAGCACAACCAAGGGAGTAGAGGCATGACTGTCGATCGGTATAGCCGATCGTGGGTCAATGGCTGCAGGCGAGACTGCGTCGTGTAGGAACGCAACGTTCGCTGCTGTCTGGGGGAGTTCGGCGACCGTATCGGGCTTGTTAGCCATAGATCGAGGTGTGAAAGATGGCGCGCCTGGATTGAGCTTAGAGTCCTATGATCAAGGCAGTTAGAAATAACCGAAGAAGGTCAGAGCCAACTCCTCGGCGTATTCTATACCTCTTTCTTCTGATCTGATAGAGCTGGCTGTGTGTGTTGCTTGTGATCCGGCTTGTTCTTCTTTCCATCTTTGGTGTCAATTCGTGTCAAGCTGAGTGGCGTTGGACTGGTGCTGACTTTCGCCAGCTCTAAGCTCGTCATCTCGGGAGAAAGATCGTTCACGATATTCGGTGCCTTTCTTGCCTTGCCCTTTACCTTAATGGCAGGTGCATCGCTGTCCTTTGTTTTGACAAAGATCTGCTTTGACCAAAGCTCAGCGTACTTGCCATCCGCGCGAATCAGGCCTTCATGATTTCCCTGCTCGATGACCTCTCCTCCATTTACAACAATGATATGATCCGCATTCATAATGGTTGACAAGCGATGTCTGGGGCCACAGTAGTCAGTATAGTTGTGATAGTACTTCATGGTTCGTTGAACTTACGCTACGATGAATGTAGTGCGTCCTTGGCAAAGAACTCGGAGTGCCTCTTGGATCTTTTGCTCTGTCTCAGTGTCCACAGCACTCGTTGCTTCGTCCAGAAGCACTATGGAGGGTCGCTTCAGGATTGCCCGGGCGATTGCTACACGCTGTAGTTCTCCGCCAGATAGCTTCATCCCTCGCTCTCCCACTCTTGTACCGTAACCTTCACAGCTGTCAGAAACATGGCTCAAGTGGGGGGGATCAAACTCCACATACCATCAGTAAAGCCCAAAATCTGGTCATGAATGGCTGCAGCCTTGCAAGCCTCATAGACTTCCTCGTCTGTCGCATTGAGCTTCGCATACCGCACGTTGTTCATGATAGTGTCGTCGAAAAGAGTCGGGGATTGCGGAACAACTCCGATCTGCGCTCGAAGGCTTTCAAAGAATTAGTAAGAGGCAGCTTGATCGGCATGTCAACTGACCTGAAAAGATCAACATCACGAATATCTTGACCATCAAGTAAGATGGTGCCTTCTGTGACATCGTAGAAGCGATCGAGCAATTTCAAGATCGTCGATTTTCCCGCACCGGTTGCCCCAACAAAAGCCACTGTAGTCCCTGCCGGCACAGAAAAGTTGATGTTCTTGAGAATTGGCTTCTTCTTATCGTAAGAGAAGTACACATTCTCGAAAGCGACATTACCCCCAGTGAACTCTAGTGGAATGGCGCCCTCCTTGTTAACCACAGTCGGCTTCGTCTTCATGATCTTCAAGAGTTGCTCTGCATGGATTAGGTCTCGAGAAATGTTCTTGCCAAGGCTGGCAAAAAAATGAAGTGGCGCGACAAGTTGTGCCCAATATGTGAGAAGCATGATGAATTGACCCGGAGTGGCTTCACCCATGGTGACTTGGTATACGGCCAAGAAAGCACCAGCGAGCAAGCCAGCAAGCAAGACAAGGTACTGAAAGGCATTGGCGACAAGGTAGCCGAAGTATACCGCCTGAGATTTGGAGACCTTGTCCTGAACCACTGCAGAATAACGTACCTCCTCATGGCCGATTTGATTGAACGAAGTGACGGTTGTCCACCCCTGGATGCCTGCCTGACGGACATAATGCTCTTCAAAGAAGGCGCTGACCTCATTTTGCCGAGCTGATCGCAATTTTGATATCATTCGAGTGGCAATATAGAGGAAGATGATAGAGGTTGCGATGGTGATGAGTCCTTCGTACGGCCCGAAAGTGACTGAAAGGTAGACAAAAGCAACCACCATGTCAATGAGCATGGGCATAGCACTGAAACAGACAGACTCGAGCATATTTGACACATTCTGTCCGGACTGAATTGCCATCATGATATCGGAAGAACTCTTGGCGTCATGAAAGTCGGAGGAAAGATTCAAAACATGTGAGTACGCTGCTGTGCTCAAAGCTCCAGAGGAATAGAATTCGACGGGTATCCATAACCATTGTCTCAGCAGTGATACTCCGGCCTCCGATGCGGCAAATTTCAGAGATGCATAGATGAGAACCTGAACCCAAGGATTCGTATTATTTTCGTGGCTCAGGCTATCCGTGACGATGCCGAGCTGGCGAGGAATCAGAACATTGAGGGAGTTCTTTGCCAATAGACAACATGCCACCAGGACCACACGAATTTGGAGACCTCTATGCTTCACCGGCCAGACATAGGGGAAGAAGATCTGTTGAATCGTTAGTATGTACACGGTATAAGGGCTGTACCCAACGAGATGACTTACAAAGAAGCTCTTCGCGTACGTGAACCAATTTCCGTTTTCCCTCAGACGCTTCTCCATGGCCTCTCTTGATTCGCGCTCCCGGCGCTCCCAGGGAGACTCGGGATTATCAGTTGGAGATTGACTGGCGTCGGTCGAGTCATCTGATGCAGAGCCATAATCGATGTTCTGGGAGTCTTCAGAGTTGTCTGTCAAACCTCCCCGGGAAAGGCCACTCTTTTGGAGCAAAGTCTGTCGCTCCGAGTCATGCCCTTCCTCTAGATGCTTTCCTTTGCTCCATGCAAAGTAGATTACTACAACAGAAAGCATGGAGAAGAGTCGTAATGCAGCTATAACAGCATCTAAGACTTGAAAATAGTGGGGAGCGATGTTCGGTCGATACCTATCACTAAGGAGAATGATAGTCGCATCGAAGGGTAAGCCAATGATATAGGATCCGATGTAAGGATACCATGCTGGGTGATCGGTGTCTAGTAAGCCGGCAAGTTGTACGCCGAAGACAAGAATGCAGGACAGTAGTGAGATGATCGTGTCTTGGTGGCCGACACACTGCCCCGCTATGATGGATCGAGCAAGTATTAGTAGAGCCTGTGCGAGATATGTCGAAATGCTGAAGAACATAAGAGCAAGTAGAGTTCGTCGGCGGTTCTGATACATGCTAGCATCAGTCTGCAGAGTGCAGATGGCGACAGCAGACGAGACGAGAAAGTAGACAAAGACCGCAGACGGATAAGCGTAGTGGAGGCTCACCAGGAGCTTCTCCATTGGTGAGATCGAAGCCATCTCCTGAGCCATGAGATCCATTGTGATGGTTTGATCACGGCTTGGCGAGAATTAGGATGGATTTCCTTTGCAGCGCCGAGAATTTGACAACGCCCTCGTTGTGCGCCTCGAAAGATTGCGCTTTCAGTATCTGACGATTTGGTCGAGAATGGGATCAGGAGGGCCTGGCAATTGCTGAAGGTTGTGTTTTGAGAGAAGAGTGGAAGAATTAGCCCCAGAACCACATGCGCGTCAAGGTCAAGGAATTTAGCTGTAGTCATCAGATGGAGGACGGTACCTGAGGTTAGAAGGGTGTCGTATGTCTGTTGTCGCTGCCTCTGGCGCACGTTCCTTCTGGTGTTTTGCTTGACCTAGTGGTACCTTCCACCTTCTTTGAAGGGTGTCTTATTCTTTCCCAAACGAGCAAGGACAGTCGTTTCCTAAGTAGGCATGCAAAGGTCCGAATTGTCGAAGCTAAGAAACAAACCATACAGGTAGATGTCGTGTGGCGCAACTAAGAGCAGGTTCTCTTGATGATATCTTTGGTGTGAGCTACAGGGAGGCGGCAACAGCATTGCATATATCCAATCAGTAGTCACAACCAGATCTCATATCCCTTCAAGTCCAGACCAGAGGAGTCTGGCCGGTGATGCGGCAGAGACGATCGGGCCTTGCCACGTGGTTGCCTTACTCCTTGATCACGGCGATTACGGCAATGATATATGCGCCCAAGAATTGCCCCGTGATTGGAGTGTCTGAAGGTCTGGTTAGTGTCCCGCGGAAACTCATACATCAAAGACTCACCTGTCAACAGTGTCTCCTTTCGATACAACACTACGTAGCCTTGCAGTCTAACTCGGAAGCTTCCAAAGGCTGTTTCTAGCTACTCAACGGTTTCTCTACTGCGTACTACCTTTGCCCAGCTCACAACTCACCTCAACCATGAAACGATGGCCTTCTTTCAGTCAGAAACACCAATCGCCAGCGGATGGGTGGAAGCGTGCTTCTTCTTCCGGTCACATGTCACGTTGCCGTGGGATTCGCCCAGTAGAGTTTACGAGCTGAAGTAGGTGTTCGCCTTACCCGCTTGTTGAGGCTATTGACCGCTTCAGCTGGGCTAGACGAGACGGATCGGCGCTTGCGCGGCTCGGAGGCAAGTAATCAAGCGTGTAGTGCAAATCGACGGTGTGGAATGGAGGAGGTAACGATAGAAGCATGAAATAAAAGATCTGGGTGGATCTCTTTGAATACGAAGATTTGTTCGTGTGGTAGTCAGTCACAGTTCACGAACAAAGCCGGGCAACAGTACCCGAGAGCGAGAGTGTCTCTAGACATGCCACCGGAAGCGACACTGTGGCGGTTGGCTCTTGTCCCATCGTGCGTTAAGTTTAGCTAGACCCGCGAGACCGAAAGCTACGATAGATGTGACTTTGCGATCCAAGCTGGGCAGGTCCCGCAATGACCCTGCCCGTTTGGCGAGCCAGAAAATGAGCTGGTACATTCTGGATGCAGAGAGCGTAGGACAAGAAGGACCCGATGACCTTCCATTCACGCCGCAGTAAACGACGACAACCCTGTCTGTCGCTGACCGCTGTTGTGCTTGATCGGAACTGCTTTCCGCCAAGGGCCTTGTCAATTGGCAAGATTGGCTTGACCGGGCCCCTAGCGATCGAACTGATCACCAGAATGGCTGGGGTCAAAGCAGCGATGGCTGCATTGCGAGGTGGCCAGCGTGCCGCCTCGTCACTTTTCGATACCCAGAACAGCCGTGGCACGCGAAAAGAGACAGCAAAAAGAAAGGGAGAGTATATCAGCGAGGCGAATTGGCTCCTGAGTCATACCATGCTCAGAACTCGGATTCTCCTATCGTTCGAGAGTTATGCCGTATGCTTTGGCCGTCTTTCATTACTCGTTTCCTGGCAATCCCTCACCGTAAGCAGAATAAAAGCTCTTGACCGACTCGGAGAAGGGCGATCTTAGTGCTATAAATGCCGAGTTCTGATAGGGTTCCGTGTTGCTGGAGAAGCGAAAAACCCGCTTTCTGTCATATGTCACATTCACCCACTGGGTCAAAGAGCCCTTGTAAAAGTCGAGGTATATCTGGCGTCTTAATGCAGAAGCAACGCAGACAGATCACGTTTTCTCGAGGCCAGCACGCTTGCAACACATGGAAAAGAAACGCAAACGCTCTAGGCCTGGAAAAAGCTGTCGCCTGTCGTTTCGAGGTTGGACAAGCTGATGAAGACGATCCAGCTGATTGGACACTTGTTTAGGGAATCTTGGTGGAAGCCCGACGTCAGCCCGTCTCCTCCCCTCCAGAAATCATTCACGAAAATCCAAGCAGGCATGTCGACGTGGCCAGAGGAGAATCGTGGCCCGAAGAAGGAAACATGGGCACCTAAACCGGGCAACGCTCCGCTGCACGAATAGACGGTGAACGGTCTGCCGGCTTGCCGATGCCAGGATCAAGGATTCCGGCTTTCGCCTCACTTATATAGCCCATGATAGGTCACAAATATTCATGCATTGGCTGTTCTTCGTGCTCTTTCACATCTTCTCACTCGGCATAGGAGATTTTACGGAGAGTTAGCTTTGGTGTCTCCTGTTGTGCCTCGAGCTTGTATCTTGGTTGCGTCGGAGTTGTGAAGGTGATACAGGGATCTATCGAAGACACCCGAGACAATTCTGGAGACCCAGAGCATCATCGGCTCGACTTGCAGGTGCCACGATGCCCCAGGCACCCTGCACGCAGATAGGAAGCAATCACACTTTCTTCCAACAAAAGGATTCTGTCGCCGTTTGAAGCCATTCGCAACAGCCCGGCTGACCAGCTTGATGCAAGCCGGTGGTCTGATCGGTGCCGCTTCCGATCGATCAAGAAATGCTCAGTGACGAAGATCGACCTTTTGTGTGATCAAAGACGAGCCATTCGCTGCGTAGCGACCTCACGAGACCATGTCCTCGACTTATCAGATGACGGGACGCTGTCACAAAGCCAGAATGACAGCTAATCTTACTTGACAAAGGTGTAGTTTCGAATGCATCGAAGAGTCAGCAGACATGGATCTGCACAAATGATTGAATAAGCACCTGCAGGCCTCGAATCAAGTACAATGGTCGGGCCCGATGTTCGATTTGCACAAATTTAGCAGTACAAGACTTATTCCCGCAACGTCAACATGTCTATCACACGCATGCAAGATGCACGAAGGAATCACAGCCGAATGTGGTCACTTAGTTTCCGTTTCAACTTGACTGCGTATGTGTTAGTACAGCTTCTCCCAAATCAGCGGCACACAATCACCGCATTGTGTCTGAAGTTTGAGCTGGCACCAATGATCGATACACGGTCGTTTCTGCAGCCTCTCGGCCGAAGGCTATACTCGATTAAATTAACGTGGCATGTCCTGTGTCTTGTGGACTGAGATACCTCATGGACGGCTATCAGATCTATTCACAGTATGTGGCCGCACTACAAGCATTGTTGGTTACGCAAGCATAACAGGTCTCACCGATCGGCTTCGGATTGGTGTTCTAGACATCTAGATAGCCAGATCTTGATTAGTCACTCCCATTGCTCCCGCATAAAGAGCAGGGTCTCCCCAAGTAAGCCTGATCAATGAAGATGCCGGTCTTCAAGAAGGGAGTCTTCCAAGTTATTAGGCGCATGTAAGTCATACATAATGCCCGAGACTTGACATAGGTACGCAACCCCCCAGATCGATCGCTGTCAAGCCTCCAACGTCACAGCTGCATTGCCCCCACGCTTTCTGGAGGTCAGGTTGAATGATAGGCAGTGGTTGATTGAAGTTTGCTTAAGGTGAAACCGCATAGCCTCGATACGGCCGAGTCGACTTGCAGTATGTGTTGTCGATCATGAGGTCCCTGCCTCTCCGAATATATGCGACTAAACCGCTTTCGAGCTCTGGTTGGTCTAACAATTTGGCAATATTCCCAATATACCTACTTGTGTAGTGATTGTGGGTGATTGTGTGCAAAGGAATCCATATGGATAAGTTGCGAATCATTTAGATGTTAATCCAAATGCCAAACATAAGGGCAAATTGAGACTGACGCGGTGCGTATGCTATGATATTTGTTGGATGCATTGCATGCTTCATGAGATGAGAGATGACCTACAATTTCGAAACGCAGGTGGAAATCCATAGCAATGTGTAAACGAGTAGCCTTTCAGTAATGTTTTGCTTGTTTCTCTCGTCCATCATCTACTGAAGTCATTCAACATCTTGACAGAAAGGAGAATTATTAGTTCGACTCACAGCATAGTTCAAGTCGAAAGCTATGTCGTTCCGTGGACCCATGATGCCAGAAACTTTACGTCCGCAATAGAGTGAGAGAATTTCGGGTGGGAAAATTGTATTTATTATCTCGTGAGGCCATGATGAACAAGAGCGAATGTAGACGAAGATTACTTGGTAAATAACTCCAACGACAAGCAGCTAGACGATGAGCATTGTAATTGGAAAGGAGATTATGACTTCTTTACACTCTTGCTTTTCGATTGCCATAAATGCAGCATTCTTGATTGCCTACACCCTTCGGTTGGACTTTGGTATATTGGGCGGAACGCCGGTGAGTCAGGTAGTAACCGCGAGAGAGGTAGGCAACGCTCGGTCGCTTGGTGATAACTGTGACAGAAGAGGCCCAATCCCTTATTTTCTATATCACGGAGGACGAAAGTTTTTGGTGCTCAATAATAGCGATGTCTATTTCAAAAAGGCAGTGCGCTCTATGGTAATACATGGTCTACCAGAATATGTCATTTCCGCTTATATCGTCGAGTTCGTCGGCAAGTTATCGCACTGGGAATAGTAGAAAGTCCACGGGTGATAGTCGCCCGGGAGAAACTGGTTAGGGAAGGCGCAAGCCTGGAACGTATAACATTGGGACACGTCCGTCCATGTATCCTCATAACCCACGAAATTTATCCCGCTGGCTGCGTCGAACTTGGTTACGCACTCCGCAAGCGAAATTCCAGTGAAGAGCTCGTGCGGGCCACAGCCATGCGACCAGTAGCCCTTCACATCACAGAAGGGCACCGAGACTTTTGCCTGAACAAAAGGCGTCGCCTGCGGGTCGGCTGACAGAAATACTCCGGTACTCGAGATCGTCGTCGACACCGAGTACGGCGACGTGTAGGGGATGAAATACGAGGTTGTGGTCTCCGTCGGTACGCACGACGTGACTGTGGCAATCTCGGTCGTGGTTGCATACTTGATTAGTTGAGTCGACACCAATAAGCTGACCTTTAACGAGCTTTGCCCGCCCTGTATATACGTTGAGATAGGACCAACATATCCGTCGGGGACTCCTGATGGTGTGATGGTAGGTGAGGAGGATGAGCTCACGGTGGTTGTCGACGATGACAAATACGATGATGATAATGACGACGACGAGGTGGACAAAGACGATGAGGTTGGGGAGGTGGCAGAGGAGGAGACGGAAGACAATGAAGAGGTCGTGGCGATGACGGCGGTGTTAGGGCCATTCAAGCACGTACAAGCGCTCGAAATCCGTGAAGGCGTTGCATAAGCTGTCAGATATGCTGGGTATGACTGACCCGATGTGGCAGAAGATAGTGTATACGTGGAGCAAAAGGGGGCTGCATCCGCGCTGGACTTGATGACTGCACGAATCAAGTTGTCCTTGGGGCAGTTCATACTATATGTTGATGTCAGAGCGCTGCTTGTGCTGGCAGCATCGCTTGAACTTGATGCAGTGACGGCGGCACTACTTGAACTTGACGTAGTGACAGCGTCACTAGTCGAACTTGAGCTTGAAGTCACAGGGAAGACGCAGGAGCATGCGCTCGACACGCGTGACGCACTCGCTGTGTAAGCGGACAGGAAGGTTGGCCAGACGGTCGTCGGCGTTGGGGCGGTAAAGGTGGCACAAAAGGGTGATGCTACAGCCGATGATTTCCTCACAAGTCGCCCGAGGTTATCACCACCGCAATCCCTCTTGGCCTTAGGGACATCCGTCGGAGCGCACGATTGCACAACGGTCGTGATTTGCCCGGACACAGCCACAGCCGACGTGTAAGTCGTGAAGTAGTGAGCCACCGATGGTGTCGGGGTGACGGCAAAGGTGAATGGACTTATGGTATAAAGATTTCCTGACTGTGTAGAATATCCGAAGTTCATCGTCACCGTACCAGCCAAGTCACCCACGGGAACATCGCAAAGTAGGGTGCCAGCTGCAGGTGCCGCAGACAACTCGGAACAGACGACGGACGTCACGGTCGAAGCAATGGCATCCGTGTAGGTTAAAGTCGGGGTCACAACGCTGGCAACAGTGCATGATCCGGAGGCTATGGCAGAGTCAGACGGAGTATTCATCGTGAGTGAGGTATTGGCTGAACTTACGGACGGCTGTCAAGGTTCCTGTTACTCCAAAGGAGGATGCAGAAGCGGTTGGATCAAAGGCGAAGGTCACAGAGGACACCTGGCCGCCCGACAACCGCGGTGACGAGAACTCACAGCCCATTGTAGATGGTATGAGAGCAATGTTTACGTGGCTTCCAATACAATGACCGAAGCTCGGCAATCGCACTTGCGAAAGTGGTTGGCCATGGTATATATTAGATATCTTCCCCCTCGAGCGCAGTCCATCTGCACGAGCGCATCAAAATCGCAAACTGTAGCCACCTCCATTGGTGCAGCTGAATAACAAATAGTGTATGGGGCGGTGGCCCAATCTGGTAACTATAGAGACCCAGCCTGGTCGTTGACGGTCTAGCCGAGAGTCTGGAACAGAAGCTGCCATGATGCTTAAGACGCTTTTAGCGTGACGCCATTCGGAAAGTTATCTAGAGCCGCAAACTAGGGTCCAATAGTCCCATGCTTGAAGCCATCAAGGATTAAACTAACTAGTGCATGGCCAAGACAGAAAAATATTTGCATATGCATTACTGCAATTCGCCCTACAGTCCCGACATCATGCGTAACGATTTTGCCTTAATCGTCGTTTGCCCCTGCCATTTCAAAAATGGACCGGGACGAGTACTAGAATTCCTCACTTTACTACTAAAGGTCAACACTGCTTACCACGCTCCACTGCGCTTGACTATTCTACTTTCTTCTGTGATCTGCTAAGTAGATATGCAGGTAAGTAAATAAGTAGGCAGATACCTTGATAGGAAGACAGCTAGGTGGATATGTAGACAACAGTGTCGACAGGTAGATAACTAAGTAAGTAGATAGATAGACAATTAAATAAATAGATAGACAACTAAGTAAATAGATAAGTAAACAACTAGATAGACAAGTAGACAACTAAGTGGAAAGGGATGAGACAAGGAAGTAATTGGACAGGGATGGAGCTGAAGCTAGAAATGAATACATACATGAGCATTCAGTTGACCGAAAAGCCTCGGAGCCAACCCATAATCATCGCAATCCCACCGAACTCTTCTCTGTGTCATCATTCGAAAAGCCCTGCCAGTCGATCGAGGAGAGGTGACACCCATCGCTAATACCGAGGTGCATTGCTCGAGGTCAAGGTCAAGGTGACGTTGAATGGGTACTATTTAATTAAAAACTTGCAAATATCAGAATTTTATCACAAATACAAAGTGAACTCTTTTAGATTGGAATAGATATTATAGCAATTAAAAGTATTTTGAAGTTTTTCTCATATAAAATTCACATCACATTAGAGCGAGATATTCATAAAGTAAGATGATGGTGAGTGATCGCTGCATGCAATTCCCACCTCAACGGCATGGCAAGGAGATGGAATTTTCACTGACCACCAGTATGATAGCTTGGCCTCCATGGACTATCACCAATCAAGGCCAAGTTCAAGGATGGGAAGCGGAAGACATGAAGACGAGGTCTGGAGGGTGGTTGACTGACCAGAACAAGGGTGGCTGCCCACGAACAGGCTACCAATAAACATCGGTATTGAAGTCAAGTCGTGAAGAAGATTTTTTTTTGGATAAAACGAGCAAGTTAACTGTATCATGTGATAGAATTCGCGTCGGACGCGGTTTGAGCGCGTCCGTTTCGTGTAAGCTGTAGACTTAGGGAGCTCAGAATCTTGAAGCTCGATTCTCTCCTCTTTCCTTTCCTCAACCCATCACAGCCTCTCGTATGTACCGCCTCGCCCTGGCAGCAACGCCTTGATCCCCCAGCCCATTATTCTATTGCAATTGGTCATGGAATAAGATAGTATGAGTACTTGTAGTTATCAAGTCGTCTCAGCCGTCCTATTTCGTCCAATTCTCTCATGAATTGCGTTCTTCCTGATCTCATACTGCCCCGCCTCCCTCTGTGACGATCGTGAGCTAACATGTAGAACAGCACCCCTCTCCATCTCTCTCTCTCTCTCTCTCTCTCTCTCAGTAAGTCAATCTGTATACTAAATTGGAATACATGTTAACTTCATTACTTCGGAAAAGACTCAAAATGGCGGACGCTGTAAGCTCTTTCAATGTCCAGAAGTCTTGAGACACTTGGCTGACACCAGATAGCAGCAGAAGAACGACGTCGTCAGTCATCCAGAGTGTCCAACGCTTAAAACACTTTGTTGACTTCTATATAGGACCAGCAGCAGCAGCAGCAGCAGCAGCAGCAGAAAGCCGTTAGTTTAGCAACAACCTGACCTGTGACCCTTGCTGACTAAGGTTCATTAGGAGAAGGAGAAGAAGGAGAAGGAGAAGAAGGAGAAGGAGAAGAAGGAGAAGGAGAAGAAGCAGGAGGTAAGCATTGACATATCATACATAGCACAGTTGTATTGACTTGAGATAGCAGCAGCAGCAGCAGAACGTGAGAGCCTGACAACTCTACTTCTTTGCGAGACGTTACTGATCCTAAAATAGCAGCAGCAACAACAGCAACAGCAGGTGGTACGTTCTTGATGAATTCCAGTGATGACAAAGCTGCTGTTCAAGCAATATTGACTTCTTAATAGCAGCAGCCGCAGCAGCACCAGATGGTATGTCCTGTCTGAGGCTGAGTCTCTATTCGGAGTCTCCAATGCCTGCAGAACTGCGGAACTAATCATTGACTACCAATTAGCAACAACAACAGCAGCAGCAGCAGCAGGCCAACCGTAAGTAATTGATCATTATGCAATAGTAAAATAGTCAATTAACGAGGCACCAGGGATTTATTTTCCCAATGGCACCCATTGGGTGCCCGAGTCTAATCGGCGCCTGGCGATGTTTTTGCGCCACGCTTTGCGAGGCGATGTGTCTGGGGCTCCGTCTCCGCCCGCCTCCTCCAAGCGCAAGCTCGTTAGTACTATGTCCTTCATTCATCATACTAATATCGTTATATCATTGACTAACACTGACTTCTATAGGCCGACGAAAATGACGATGACGCTGCCGAGGAGAAGCGCGTAAGTGCATAATTCCTTATAGAGTATAGAGCATGCTAATTAGGCTATTAGAAGAAGAAGGCGCTGAAGAACAAGAAGCAGCGCGAGAGAAAGCGGGCGAAGGTTAGTATATAGTTCAATGACATGGCACAAACATGGCTTATATGAAGATTAGAAGAACAACCAACCTCCTCCTCCGCCGCCAGGAGCCGGTGGCTCCGATGCCACCACCACCACCACAACCACAACCACTACCACCACCACTACCACCACCACCACCACCGACACCGCCCCCATGTGTAAGTACTTCCGTATTTTCAAACATGGCATCTTCCTCATGATATGTTTGTGTACTGATTCTTTTACTCGATTAGGGGTTTAGCTTTGGTTTAGTTTTGTAGGGACGGGTTGTTTTTTTCTTCAAAAAAGAAAAGGAGTATTCTTCTGGGCTTGGGTTTTGCTGGGGGCCTTTTCTCTCTTGCTTTTAGAAAGTATGATGAGTAATCGTTAATTAATGAAAGTTTATTGTTATTGGGCACTACTTTTAATATCTCATAACCTTCCTTGTAAAGTGGTTAATGTATATTCTCGAGTGATAGAGTTTTGCTAACCTTCAACCGTATTAGTTCCCTACCGAAACGATATTCAGAGGAAAACACTAACCATGCTCATGTTTTCTTTTATAAGTCACTGGAAAGCATCCTGCTGTGATAGACAAATCTCAAAGCTTGCACTGTGCTGGCTTGTTCCGTGAAGCAACATCTAGTCTTGGTCAAAAAGCACTGCGGTGGAATCAGCACTCCGGGATCAATGGATAAATTGAATCAGCTCTTCTCCCATAACGAGCGGTTGCTATATGATGCACATGAGGCTTATAAAACCAGTCCTGATTTCCAGCACCAGGGGAAGCTGTCAACTACTCGTAGACGTGACCTCCTCGAGAGTTGTCGTTGACACAAGACATCCGAATACGTTTTGCCCACGCCTAACGGCCTGCTCCTGGTGACTCCGCTTGACAGTTTATTATACTGAGACACTCCACACTAATGAAGACAGGCTTGAGGGATGAGAGTAACACCCGTGTGGAAGTCTTAGATTGCCTTGAACCTTGCCAGACATGACGTGACCCAGTGACGACCATCACCTCGGCTCAACTAGAGTACTTCCTCATCTAAGCGATTTGCACATCTGTTAAGGTTCATTGTTTGTTCAACCATTCGGTTTACAGCGTCGTCTACTGTGATGTTGTCTCCGGAGAACCTACATCCCATAACCCCGCATACTACTGCTCTTCAAACATGCATGCCATCTACATGCAATTCCCGCATTCACGAAGCTCTCGAGGGTCATTCGCCATCAAATTGATGACAGAATTCGGATACGGACAACGTGCACAGCAAAAAGGCTTTGACCTGATCGCTCAAGCCTGCAATACCGAAGGTGCCCATGATAAAAAAAAACAAAGCCTTGGAGCGATAGGGGATCGAACCCTAGACCTCTCGCAAGCGATCTAAATGCAAAGCGAGCGCTCTGCCACTGAGCTATGGCCCCACTTTTATTTATATCTCATTTATGAGCTATTCTGAATCATATTGGTGCTGTAATTGACGATTGGAGGCTGTGTGGTGGGTGTGGAAGGTGTGCACTGAGTTGGTGTGGAGTTGTGGTGGGTGGCACCCCACCAAACTTGACCCGAATTTAGGCCCAGTCTGGCCTAAAATAGAGTGCTAGTGGGCGTAAAACCCGAACCAATGGCCTAAAAGTGCATGTAAATGTGCTAGCAAACGCTGGAGAGGTGTTGCAGGACAGTCCAGAAGGTCCAGCTATGAAGCAGCATTAACACTAAGATTGACTGTCGTAAGGACGAGCAGCACGGATCGGTTTATTGTGGAGAAAACTAACATCATACAGGTGCGCTGGGAGTGAGTGACTTAGGCGATCTGGGCGGTTACTACTAAGTAGTCTGGGGCATTGTGCATAGGGCACGGGTATACAACGGTGGAGGCACTGCAAACTATATTTTGCATGGTGCAAACTCGACAGGGCAAGAAGGAACTGCGAGTGAGGCAAAATCGTCGCGCATGCTTCCAATTTGGGCGAAATGTAGTAGTCCTTAAGCAAACAAATGCCCACGAAGACTTACATGCCTGGCCAGGGGGAAGGTTATGGCGGGACCAGATCTCGGTCCGCCGAAATAAATTACGGCGGCCCCACTTTTCCCGCTCTGCAGACTGCCGTCCTAAGTACGGAAATTTTGGGACTTCCTAAACGCCACCACCTCGAGGCAACCACCATTCACAACGCTGATGTGATGTCTGCACGCCTTCTGAAGGGCATCCTCAGTAGGAACATCATGACCGAGGCCACAAAGAAGGTGCCCATCCCGCCGCGCGGCGTGGACTACCGCGGCAAGGTAGTGCTTGCGCCCATGGTGCGCTCCGGCGAGCTGCCTTCACGACTGCTTGCGCTGCACTATGGCGCCGACTTGGTATGGGGTACGTGATCTCTTTGCATCTTGCATGCGTGGTACTTCATATTGACGCTGATTTTACCAGGTCCCGAGACTGTCGATCGGTCTATGATTGGCACCACCCGGCGCATCAACCCTTTGACAAACACCATCGAATGGTGCCGCACACCATCTCAAGGCCAGAAGACGCCCCCTGCGGATGCCAAAGAATCGGTTATATATCGCATCGCACCTGAGCTCGAGGGCAAGAAGCTCATCTTCCAGATCGGAACATCAGACCCGGACCGCGCCGTCGAGGCAGCTCGTATTGTGGCAGGTGACGTCGTCGGCATCGATGTCAATGCCGGATGCCCCAAGCCTTTCAGCACACATGCCGGCATGGGCGCCGCCCTGCTGCGGACACCAGATACATTAGTCGCTATCCTGCGCGCCTTGGTGGAAAACATTGTGCCAGAGTTTGGCATCGGCATCAGCGTGAAGATTCGCCTACTAGCGACGGCAGCCGAGACGGAGGTGCTGGTGAGACGGCTGGTAGCCACGGGCATCACCGGACTGACGATACATTGTCGCACCACGCCAATGCGACCGCGTGAAGCGGCTATCCGGGACCAGCTGCGGATGATTGCTGATATCTGCCACGAGGCAGGCGTTGCGTGCCTCGTGAACGGTGATGTGGCGAATCGAGACCACGCATATAAGCTAATGGAGGAGTTCGGAGTTGACGGTGCGATGATCGCGACTGCGGCAGAGAAAAACTCAAGCTGCTTCCGATCAGCAGAGCAAGGCGGTATGGCACCATGGCAAGAAGTCGTCGAGAACTACATCAAGATGGCCATGGACGTGGGAAACAAGTATGGCAACACAAAGTACCTGCTGGCGCAATACATCCCAGGCAAATCGCCTGTCTACAGACATCTATCGGCATGCAAGTCTTTCACGGCAACTTGCGAGATGCTGGGCTTGACGCATTTGATGGAGCAGGCAGTCGAGGCCGACAAGCGTTTAGGACTCATTCCTGGCGCAAAGAGTCAGGCGCAGCACGCCAAGCGGAACAGCAGTGCTCTGACAGGCGAGCAGGTCGCAGAGGCAGTCTCTTCAAAACGTCCGCGAACAGAAATCTCGGAGCAAGATGTCGAGACAGTACCTGAGATACCTCAGGCTGCAGTCGCGCTATCAGCTTAAGAATACTACTCCTGAGATTTTGTAATTATATAAACCATGGCATTGCTGGCGTTTAGAGGAGGCATGGAGAACTAGACGACGGTGAAGCCCTCGTCACGGAGGTAACCAGGACTTAGACATCGGTAGCGTTAACTTGCTTGAAAATATAAAATGTTCATCACTCATCTATATTGAAGCCTGACTAAACATTTGAAAGTGGAATACACTGTTGTGTTTGACAATTCGTCGTTGTGCTTTACACCCTCTTACCTTGTGCCAGTAGTTCGGACACCTTGGGAGGTAGTACAAGTGCACTCATGTCATTACGCCTGTAGAAATCAACGAGCACCTGCGCCGTCTTCTCCGGCAAGTCTTCATGGACAAAATGCCCAGCTTCTGGGAAGACCTGTAGCGCATATTTTCCTGTTTTGTGACCGTTAGCTTTTGTTCATTGAGAGAGGAGAGAGAACCGCGAACCTTGCATTTGGCCGATTGTCAGCTCCTTGTCCAAGCGATCTGTTCCGGCGAGTAAGAGAAGTTTTCCACCCTTCGCCTCCAAAAACTTCTTGCTCAGACCGACAAACCAGTCCGGCCAGAAACGTTCCGTTGCAGCTAGGTCTGTCCTCCACCTCCACGGCCGCGAAGGACCGAAGCTATCATCTTCCACAAGCAGAGCCGGGACGCTTGTCCTCGCCGACATGGCGTTGCGGATCGTCCTCGACCGAATATGCCAGTCAATGCCTGCTTGGAGAGTCGCAAAACCCGACGGCCGTGTCGAGAGATAGGTTTGCATGCTCTGTAATGCGTCCATAGCAGACCCTTCAACAACATCGAGGACGGCATACCCGAGCAAGGAGCTGCCCAAGCTTCCACTTTTCGCCAGGTCAGTCACTACAGCACCACCTAGGGAGTGCCCGACCAGGATGATAGGCGGTAGCTCTTTCCAGTTCATCTGCTGCTGTGCCAACAAGATGGTTTCTAAAAGATCAGATCGTAGGGTCTCGAGACTGAGGTCAAGTTCAGTTGTACCAGGTGTGACTGTTGAGCCATGGCCCCTGGCATCTAAGGACAAGATGCCGGCTGACGGAAGTTGCTTTCTGATTTCGGATCCCACGACAGCAAAAGACAGTCCTGACGATCCACCTCCGTGATGCGTCACAAATAGAGGTCCTTTGCCGACTGGTGAAGTTAGGTAGGCATGATGTATAATCTCACTCCCGCCACTTTCGCCCTTCAAGGTGAGCTCTCGCTCAAAGTAGGTAGTCCACGGAATCTTTTCTAATGTCCTACCTCTGGGCGGCCTGAAATGGTTGTCAGATCATCTGTATTAAATTTCACGAAGTTACGAAGACGAAATACCCAAGTGGTCTTGCGAATAAATTCCTACTCGGTGAGGGGACAATTGTTCCCGTTGACGAAGCTGACGAGGCAGATGAAGAGTCGTCATCGTTAATCTCCGGAAGCTCAGGGAGATGGCCGTCCTCATGGTCTTCGTCCAGCTCGTTGAAGCCTTCGGGAGCCATGATGTTCAGCTTCTTCTTTGCCCAAGCCTTCTGCAAGTCGCTCATCTTGAAGGCAGCATCCGTTGTCTATTTATCAGGAGACCACAAGTAGGTGGTTCTCCAAATTTGAGACTCGCCAACGAGAGAACTACACGGCTGCGGTGAGGTTGTCACTCGATTTTACCGATCCGGTGATATGTATCCGTCCGACCAGATGAAAAGCGTCTGTAATTCCCGATATTGTCGCTAGTATGGGGAGAGCGTGATCGTTGTTCTTGTCGCGTGCTTAGACGCCAGGAAGGATGTTGGAATGAGGTCATTGGTCAAGCGTTTCCTGGTTCTGGGCGCTACTGAACGTCGTCGGGTGTACTGTAGAAGGCTATTTTTACTGGGTGATATCGGACCCTGAGGGCCGTATCAACGGCGCCTTAGCGTGCCTAGCATGGTGCACTGAGCCTTACCATCTCCAATTCTTCTACCTGTTTATTACAAACTATTCAACTCGGTACAGTCCAGTGCCTTTCTACACGCCGTTCGATATACATATTCATCTTTGTAAACTATGTCACATTGAATAGGATAGTGATTTATCTCTTACATTTTCTTAAATGTTCTCGTCTGAACTATTGAAAGGGTCAGGTCACGATGATAGTCCATGAAGCGAAAGGTTACTCGCGCCGACCTTGGTAGATGTGCATGTTTCGGAGAAAGGATGACGATTATTGGCATTGTTGGCACAAGCTGAGATCTTTCACCTTGGATATCCCTTGTTTCTCGTTTGCAATAGCCTATGGACTTCTAAAGACCTCAAGGCCATGCTGGACATCGCCCCCATTAGCTAAGAAGGCTTGCGGCCGCCGAGTGAGTCAACTTGCACAGAACTCTTGAACACTTATAAAGGTTACCGTGATATCTCCGCTACTCATACAGCCTTCATAAAATCAAGACTACTACTTCACCTGGAAATCTTGATACTTCTAATTTCAAGAAATTTTGTTGTACTATCATCGAGTTACCGGCAACTACATCGTCGCACGTACAATCAAAACCAATGGCACGAAAGCTCGTGACCGTCCGGCGAGTCTCCGCCGTGAAGCCCATACCCGGCGCCGACCGGATTGAGACGGCCATCGTCGACGGATGGCAGTGCGTTGTGAAAGTCGATTCCTTCCGACCGGGCGACCTGGGCGTCTTCTTCGAGATCGACAGCTTCCTGCCGGCGTCCGACCCGCGGTGGGCCTTCCTGGACGCACAGTTCACCACCTTGGAGGACGCCAGGGGCTTCCGGGTCAAGAGCATGAAGATGAGGGGCCAGATCTCCCAGGGACTGCTGCAGCCGCTCGACGTGTTCCCAGAGGTTAAGGGGGTGCTCGAGGAGTTGGGGCGGACACTGGAGAGTAGAGAGGAGGCTGTCAAGTCTATTCTGGACCTCGCCTTTGAGGAGAAGCTAGGCGTGAAGAAGTGGGAGCGATCGATACCCGGGGCTGCCTATGGGAAGGGCTCCATTCTTCCACCGGAGCAGCAGGTCGCCATGGGGCCATTTCCCGATTTCATCGAGAGAACGGACCAGGAGCGGATCCAGAATCTGCCCAAAGTGTTTGAGGAGTGGGGAGACAAGGTATTCCAGGAGACGACCAAGATGGACGGCTCATCAATGACCGTCTATTACCTGCGAAAGGACGCTCCAATGTTTGACCTCCTGCCGCCTTTGAACCCCACGGGTGGCCAGTCTGGCGTCATGGAAAACGGCCGAGTCGGCGTCTGCTCTCGAAACATCGAGCTTGTGGAGCGGGAGAAGAGCTTCTTCTGGGAGGTTGCGCTGAAAAACAACCTTCTCGAGAAACTAGCTAAACTAGACCGCAACATTGCCATCCAGGGCGAGCTCTGCGGGAGCACGATCCAGAGCAACTTCGAGGGCTTCCCCAAAGGATTTCATGATTTCTATCTCTTCTCGGTCTGGGATATTGACGAGCAGAAACATCTTCCCCCTCGACAGACCGAGCAATGGGCCAAGGACCTGGGTCTTAAACATGTCCCAGTGCACGGCTACACTAAGCTCAGTGACCTCGGGGCATCTGTGGAGGAGCTGTTGAAGCGAGCGGAGGGCAAGGGTATGAATGGAAAGAAAAGAGAGGGCATAGTGCTCAAGCACGAGGACGGGGTGTTTAGCTTTAAGGCGATTTCTAACTCGTATCTGCTGAAGCATGGAGAGTAAATCATTTCATACGTGTATTTCCTTCAGGGCGTTTTTGGATAAGTAGCTCACATCAGCCCGTTGTGTGGGGAATTATGACTCGAGGCTTCTTGGATAACATTCTTATTCATGACATTTTATTACTTTGCTATATTTCCACGTCATTGACACATGTGAGAGAGCACTATCATGGTCCCATATCTGCTGCTACTGAGAAATGCATTCGTCCTCTTCTTCTCGAGTTCCTATCCTCATCCCATGGTATCTTATTCGTATGTGCACACGGACAAATAGAAATACAAGATGGATCTAGAGCGATCCAAACTTTTCACACCCGTACATTCATACATTCCTCCACGGACGGCCCAAGCACGCCTTAGAATCCTCCTCTTGATGGCGCTCGGTACTGATTATTGTAATTGTTGTTGTTGTAACCACCATAGCCCCCTTGCCCATACGAGTTCTGACTGTAGCCGTTGTACTGGGGTGTAGGCTGGAAGGCGTTGTTGGGACGCCCGCCATACTGGCTATTCCCATACCCACCCATGCTGGGAAGCGTCGGCTGCCTGGCGGGATCGGTACGGCCAAGCGGCGTGGCATTCGACAGCAAGTTGGCTCGATCACCGCCAACGGGTGTTTGTGGTGTCAGAGGTCTGAAGCTGCTGCCAGATCCATTCCGCGAGTGGGCGGAATAGGGGTTTGCTGGCTCTGCTCCGAGGTAGCGCTCTGGCGAGGCATCGCGCATGGGCACGACCTTGGTATCGACAGCCAAGTTTGCCTTCGTCATCGAGAAAGTGTCGGTGTTCTCGGTGAGGTTGGTTGTCTTTCGGTCCAGAAGGAGGGAGTTGCGAGCGTCGAGGGGTGTGAGCACATCCATATCACGCTGCATCTTCTCCATCTCCTTGCGGCGCTTGCGGTGCGGGTTCTCCTTGCAGCAAGCGATGATGGCGTTCCAGATGATAAGGATGGCGAGAATGCCAGTCAGGGCGGACTGGACCGCAATCAGGACGACACCCGTGACGGTCTGTGTTGTCTGCGCGATGCCGAACTCCTCGACAAAGACAAGAATGCATACAACAGAAAGCACACGAACGACCTGAATGACGATGTTGATAACATTACCAGACTTGCGCTCATATGGACGGCTCCAAAGAAGTAGACCGAGCATGAGTGCCTCGATGATGAGCTGTGCGATGGTCTGGACCATTCCGTGGCCATCAGCAGCAGCGAGAATGCAGCCCTTGCTGAACATGTAGATGATTGTCGGAACGAAGATCCACCAGTAATCCTTGCGGTACGACTCATAGAACAGACTGTACTTGACCCAGATGTCCTTATCATCGTATAGACCGCTGGCGTCACCTTCGGCCTGTTTCAGCTTACGGGCCGTGCTCCAGATCTTCCAGGAGAAGAAGAGCAGGACACCAGTGAACAAGGCTAGGGTGACACCTGCCAGAACCTTTGCTGCCCACGAGTCTCCGTGAGTGAATTGGAATACACAGTAGAGCACCCAGACGCCGTAGAGGAGCAGGATCAAGGTGGTGATGGCTCGAGCAATAGAGCCCCAGTAATGTTCGCGGAAACCACTGAGCGCCTTAGGGAAACTGCCGAACAGAGCCCAAAACTCCAGAATGACCTTGACCAACAAAATACCAACAGCGATAGCAGCAATAGCGATAGCGACAATCAAAAGAACTGTCATGAAGGTGTTCGCAGAGGGGATGCTGAGCTGCTCGACGTATCCCTCAATACCGCTTACAGCAACACGAATGCTGTTAGTGAAACTGTTAGGATCGGCAGTGACATTAGCGTTAGGGGCTGTAGTGTTGACGGTCGTCTCGATTTGTCGAGAAGCGAGGAAGACAAAGTCATCAATCGCTCTCTTGAACTTTAGAGTAGAGCTGTTGGTGGACTGAGTCGTACCATCCGGGAAAACCAACGTGGCGTTGCGCAGGAACTGGACGCTGTCCTCGGTCAGATTTCCGCCCGTAGCATTTCGGAAGCTGTCAATCGAGAGTTGAAGTTGAGTCCAGGGAAGGAGACCGGTCGAGAAGGCGAAGTTCTTGGTGAAGCTGCGGTAAACAGGGGGATAGGCGACGGAAAACATGCCGTTCATGGCCATGCCCTGGAACCACCCAAACACCTCCGTGAAGCTGGGACTGATGGTACCCATTCCTCCTGCCGAAGCACTTCCGGCCGCCGCACCACTGCCAGCAAAAGCTGCGCCCACGGCAGTAACGCCTCCCATAACCAAAGCAGCACCGGCCACCGTTGCAGCAACATAAGAAACAGCTGGGATGCTGGCAGTCTTGCCGTTCGAGACCTCAGACTGAATGCAAGCGGCGTTCTCGTTTGGGTCAGTAGAATCCAACGGCTTGAGCTGGAGCGTAGCCATCGCCGCAATATCGGGAATCTGGAAGGCAATGGAGGGGACGAGATCAGCATACGCAGCTGGAATCTGCTGAGTACCCCGAGCTCCAAACGTGCCAACAGGAACTATCGAACATGTTAGCATAGGTCATACTGTCAGATGATTTACGGCGTATATACCAGGACATAGCTGCTCCACAAAGGTGCCGTTGTCGCAGGGGTTGAAGGTGTTAGAGTAAACGTTTTGCCCGTACGCTGTCACGTTCAAGATGGCAATGACTTTCTGCTCCTTCGTACTCGATCCCAGAACGTCAAACGTGACCGTTTTGTTGTCATTGTTGTATGTGATGTCGACCCTCTCCACCGTGATATTCGAGTCTGGGTTGCAGTTGGTGAAGCCCACGGTCTGTAGGATATCCTCCGCGAACACCCCCTTAGTCAACACAGCAGCCGCCAAGGCAAAGGCCAGAATTCGCCTCGCCATTTCGAGCTTTCGATGTTGAGACTTCGAAAAATCAAAGGATAGGAAATTTGAAGAGTTCTTGGTAGTTGTGATTGCTGATATATCCTCCTGTGATTCTACGTTGTATGAGCAGCCCAAGCTCGGAATCACTGCGCCTGCTCTTCCAACCCTGGAGTCTTGCTTCTAAAATCGGTACCCAAAATCCAGCGAATGTGTCGTTTCGAAATGTCGTGATTCGAGTTTGTCTGCTGAAATGCGATAGAGGAGAGAGAATATGGATTCGTTTCGATGAGCGAGAAAAAAGAAAAAAGGGGACTCGACACCGGTCGGCCTGAAGAACAGAATGGCAAACAAGGGAAACAAAGGCAGAAGACAATCAAGTCTTCTTTGGAAAAAAGGCGGCCGAGGATCAACCTGGAACGAAGGGAATGGGCAACTTGTGCCCGGTGGCTCTAAGCGGCCAGTAGTTGTCGATGGCGTGTGGACGTCAGTTTGGCGGTCGATATATTGAAGCCAGACAAGAGGTGGTATCCTTCGGAAAGGGATCGACCAAGGGAATGGGACAGATAAGAAGAAGAGGGAGAAAGTGAATAAGAAGGGCGAGGAGGACCCGGCGGGTATATGAAACGAGAGGAGGGTTTAGGTCTAGTAGGTGGTAGGTGGTAGGTGGTAAGGTAGGGTTCGTGACGATAGACTGGCTACCGGTACCAGCGCTTCCCCAGGAGGGGGCGAACAAAGAAGAAGGAGACTTGGACTAATACGAGTCCGACACAGACGCACAAGCCAAAAAGAATGGAACGATGCCCACGATCAATCAAATAGTCACCCAGTGGTTGGGCACGAAGGAGAGGGAGAAAGAGAAGTGCGCATCCGTAGTGTAGACAGAACGGCCGAGGGCGTTGAGCACTGCTCCTCCAAGCTGAGGTACGGTACTGGCATACCTAGTACGCACACACTCACGCCTACATACAAACGGGCCCCTGCCCACCACGAGCTTGCTTACCTTGCAGAAGAAAAGAAGCCATTGACCAGTCACTCGAGGGGGAACCACCCAGTCATGGCATCCAGATTTGGCTGAGTGAGGAGCAGAAACCGTCCGACCTGGCGCCGCCACTGGGCGCGCGACTGCCAGCAAGACGCACGCTGTTCGAGGTTCAATTGGTAAGGGTGGCCCTGCAATGCCCTGCAGATTTTCCAGTCTGAAACAACGCTCTTCAGAAAGGGGCTTGCTCCTCAGCCCCTCGCAGCCCCTCGCAGCCCCTCGCAAACCCCTCGCCAGTCGCAGGCCCTGCACCCTAGGACACCCTAGGACACCCCCTGCCTCCGCCTAGGCCACGGCACCGCTGGCCACTGGCGCGCGCGCCCGTCAGCCGTGAACCATTTGCCCAGCGGCCTCCCGAAGGGGCTCTCCTTAAGCTCCTTAGCGGGGAACACTAGCGACGGCGCCATTCAACGTCCCCTGGCTATTTTTGAAACCGCTCCGCTACCCAAGAATGCTCTAATGCCAGGGAGGGCCAAGAGCCCAAGACGACGCCACGTCCCAGCAAACCAGGACGATTGTACGAGGATGATTGTATGCCTGCATCGGGCAACCGTCTTCGATCTGTCTCGTCTCGTCCGGTGCCTCGAGCGTGCAGAGGCCAGCCATTGCAACAACACGACACAAGATCGTGAGCTCATCGACAAGGCACAAGAGCAAGATTTCGAGGTGATCTTCGTTTGGTGAGAAGAGAGCAATCTTTGCCCATCTTCGTCATCTACGGACCAGTGCAACGACACCAGCGACTCGTCTCGATCTACCCCAGGATCTACCCTTTACTTTAGACAAGATTGAGATCTGGGATCCTTCTTTACACCATATCTCCCACTCCCCTTCTAGAGCTGGTCTGGTACCGATGGAGCATCGTCTGCGTCAGAATAAGAAGTGTTGCAGCCCGTCTTTGCTCCGCCACTCTTCTCTCCCTCACCATCTTGTACCGGATAGTACATGTAATACATAGACACAACAGCCCGTCATCTTCAGCTAGCCTTCTTCACCAGCAGGAGGGTGTTCGTTGTCAGCGCTGAACACCCCATTTGTTCTTACCTGTATCTCACCGTCTTAGGCTGATCGAGGAGAATATCACGAAAGAGTCATCTCACGCACTCGGAGTCTCGCTGTGCAGAGGACACCCAGGAAACCCTCTGCTCCTTTCTCACTTGGCATCACCCTTCTCCTTGCACACGCATGCATGATGCGTGAACGCCGCTTGTCAAATACACAATAATGTTTTCCGTCAACCCCAGTGGCTCTCAGTTAGTCTATAATAGCCTATATGACCAGTAATGCGCACAGCAATGATGCTGGCTGCGGCCAGTCCAGGGGCTTGTGTGATCGCCGGCAAATCTGCTCCCATAGTCATGCTGATGGATACATGGTCTCCTGGACGCCATGCCCTCCACGTGATGCTACAAGCGAGCTGTCCAAAGGAGAAGAAGAGCCATTCTCCCATGCGCCACACAGCCTGACTGAACCCCCATGGCATCCATCCAGTGGAAAGGGTTGCCCGATGCAAGGACGGCTCGGGGCGACTGGGATTCGGCCCCCAACCTCATGTCCCGTTCCGGCACGCGGCACGCGGCTCATGGCTTGAACTTAATCTCTCTTTGTGCCGCACGGGGCAGGCAGGAGGAAGTCTCGCTTGCTTGTGAGAAAAAAGATTGTATAAGTCTATCTTGTTGTGATGTATGGAATAAAAAAGACAAGAATCCCACCCGATCATCATCATTCAATGTACACCCACTCATTCGCTCATAAGAATCATGATATCCAATGTCCAACATACGTGAAGGCCGTGATCAAGAAGATGCTCGTGTCTTAGCGCGCCCCAATGTAGTCCAAGAGCGTCACCACTGAATGAAAATGAGAAACCCGAAGAAGAAGGATGCCTATGTACAAAATGTTCGGTCCAAGGAACGTAGTAAATGTCGAATTCTCTATCGACCGTATAGAATCTCTCGAGAATCGAGCTAAGACTGGGTATCTGAAGTGAAAAACTCTGTCGAATCCACCTGCAGGCTAGAATTGCTCATTGGTGGCCGTAGAAGCTTCCCTGACCTTGATGTGGCGAGTGCGAATACGGTGAGACCGATCCATGTGGTGTAAATTGGTCGCCCCCGGCACTCGAAGGGTCCATCATACTATCGTATGTCATCTGGTTCGCAGTAGGGTCTTGCAAACCAAGAGGATTCATCTGCATTGCGGGAAATGGCTCGACGTTTGGCGGGACGGGGATATACTGGTTCGGATTCGCCACAAAGGAACCAGTCGTAACAGGCATGGTGTTATACGTATGCTGATTGGAGAAGCCGTGGTGCATCGGATGCTGAACTCCCAGGGCCATGGTATCCAGGTTATGTGGCAACCCGTCAAACTGGGGATAGTACGGCTGTTGGAAAGGTCCAGGGTTCATAGCTTGGTAGCCATATGGTGTCTGCTGGGGACCGGGATACGCAAGTCCGCCAGGATGCTGTTGAACGGACAATTGGTTTAAATTCGGTGTATTGAAAGGTTGGTGTTCCCGCTTGACAGGGATGGGAGCGAAATTCCTCGGTGGTGGCTCCTGAACAGGGCTGATAATAGTGTCCGGCTCTATTTGTTTTCGAGCGACAAGTCGAAGAATAGGCAAGCTGATCTGCTCCATGTGCTTCGCAAGGTGAACGGTCAGCTTCTTCCAGGTCGGGAATGTCTTCGCGCAGAAACGACAAGGTTCATCCTGAGGTCTTGCTTTGGTCTCTTCATGGCACTTCTCAACCTTCTGCCATGTAGGATCAACACCACCGGCGCGCTTGATAGCGGCCTTGGTCTTCACCTTTGGCTCAGGAAACTTGTGTTCGCGAACAAGATGCTGCAGAAAATTGTCTCTTCGATAGCAAGTGTGTCGGCAGTCATCCACGTCGCACGTCCACCATTCGAGGTGACGATGTCCTTCATTTTCATGGCGGACCCAATCAGCCTTACGTTTGAAGATCTTTGGATCACGGCACCTATCCCAAGTACAAGTGAATGGTTGAACATCCTCATGAACATGTTTAGTCCAGTCAGAAGGCTTTTGAAACTTCTTCGCTTGGTAGCAGAGCTGGCATTCAAACTCGGCAGGCAGTGTGTTCGTCGGCGGCATTGGAATATCTTGAGGGAAACTATCCGCATTTATGGCACCCTCTAGTGGTGTCAAGTCGCCATCCGAGCCGTCGTATCTGGTGGATAGGGGGTCAAGACCCCGTGGATCGCCTTTTATATCTAGAACTGTAGCTGAACCCCCAAGGGCAATGCACATGACCCCGCAAGGGCAATTTCGATTTGAAACATGCTGAACGTGCTTTACTTTCGAGTTCAACAGGCTCTTATAACGGACGATTTGTTGATGTGCAATGCGATCAACAAGGTAATTGTTCTCGTGTTCCAGCATTGGGTTGAGTCTCAAAATATGCTGTTGGAACCCGGGAAAATTTGGAACGATATCCTCAATCATCTTAGTAGACTCTCCCTTCAAGTCGGCATCTTCATCGAAATCATCGTCGTCGTCATCATCATCATCCTGTACAGGTGGAGGAGCACCTTTTGACAGTTGTGCAACAGGAGGACCACCAGTCTTCTTCCACATCTCAACCAGACTAGACTGAGAACTATCGTTTGCGCCTTTCGGGAGGTCCGATTTGCTCCTCGGTCGTCGCAGAGTGTTCTTGACTTGGAGATTGAAAGGACTCTTGGGTGATGTGACAGGCGTGGCATTACTGATCGACCCGCTACGAGCATGAGTGGTGCCGATGGACGCGACACCAGCACCCATATTGACCAAAGCAGTATTCAGGCTAGGCATCGGCTGCTTCTTACCCCAGCTCATAGTCCGGCCTGGTGGAGCCAAGCTGCTCTGGCTCTCTCGTCTGTTACCAGCGTCAGGATCACTCGAAGTCTCCTCGTCTTGCGCTTGAGTGCTTCGTGAACGCTTCAGAATCTGACTCGCACTTGGTTTGCGAACGAGGCCACGAAGTTCCTTGAAGAAGATACTGGGTTTGCGGGGTTCGCGGCTTATTGAGAGCTTCTTGAGGAAGTTGCCACTTGTAATGCCTTCCATGTCATATATGCTGGGAAGACTACGACGACGAGTGCCCCATGTTGCGGCTCTCGATACGACCGAGTCATTATCCCTACACATCCTCTCAAACCGCTCTATAGCTGCTTGTGAGCTCTGAGGTTGGAATCGTTGGGATCCCTCCTGAGAAATGCCAAATAGCATGGGGGGATCTTCCCAGTTCCGGTTCTGACGCATAATCTGAATATCCTCTGCCGTGATCTCACCGCCAGCCTCTGTGTAGTATGTTTGGCCCGACAGGTGTTTGTTCTCAGTAAGATGACCTTTGGGGATTTCCTTGTCAGGTATTCCATCATTTTCCTCCAGCAAAGGTGGAGCCGATTGGGAGTCAGGAGCATCAGTACCCTGAGAAGATGCCATCCAATTCTTGACTTCTTGATTTTTCTCTTCCACTTTGCGGAGAGAGTCAAGCTCGTTGGCGCTAGGGACTTCGGCATTTGGCCGATTGCTTGGATCGAGACCTCTCTGACCGGTTCTGGAGTTTGGCACCCAGTTGCCTAATTCATCGCGTGTTGCAGATGTGCCTAGAGCATCTTGATAAGATGGAATAAAGTTGTCATCAGCACTGAAGCCAGCCCGCACGGTAGTGGGGCTGTCAGCTTCCGAGCGGAATGCGCTATCAATGTTATGTACCGGGGCATCCTTGGCCCACAGTGACACGGTGACTCGAGGACTTGGGCACGGCATTGTTGCTGCCGTGTGTGTACCGTCTTCACTCGACGGGCCGCTTGTGCTAGTTTTAGGGGTTAGCTGCGGCGCCGTTTGATCTGAAGTGACGCTGCTAGGGCTTTGTTTCACAGGCTTCGTCAGTTCCTGAGGTGATATTGATTCGGGGAGAGGTCCGGAGAACCTGCTCCTCGATTCTTTCCGGTCACTTCGAGGAGACGTGGTGTCTATCGAAGGAGTCTGATCGGGGCTCAAAGGATAAGTGAGGCTGTCGGACACATCGTAACTCTGGTTTGGGGCTGATTGGATGCTAAAGGCATCGATTGAATCGCTTGAGTGATTCAAAGCCAGAAGCTGGTCATCCAAGAATGATGGCGTCCCCCCGTCGTTGTTAAAATCCACGCCGAAGAAAGGGTCTTCGTCAACTTCACTGGCGAAGTCGCTTGACTGGTACTGCTCGCTCAAAGCAGAGAGAGACCCGGCGGGCGTGTTCGTATTGTTCAGCAGAGGAGACGTCGAGTTGCTCTGAGCCTGTGACGAGGAGAACGGCGATAAGTGGTTGGACTCGCCTGGCGTCGCCGGCGGGATATGTTGTGCCTGGTTGTCGTGGGGCCCGGCGTTGCGGGGCTCATGCATTCGACCTTTACTGCTGTCAAGCAGAGCGGCAGGATGCACGGTATAAGTTGAGGAAGACATGGCTGCGGAGAGGTGGGATCGGGGTGGCAGCAAGTATTTAATGAGTCGGTGGGTGAGGTCACCTCAGGGAGGTAGGTAGGTAGATAGGCAGGCAGTCAATGGGGTCACGTTCAGCTCCGGAAGCTGGACGACTAGACCATGCTCATGGCTTGACGGGGAGCGGAGTAGGTGCAGCTTCGCGGCGCCGTTAGATGGTGGGATCGGCCTCCGCGCAGCGTTAGACAGACTAGGGTCCCTCAGCTGGGAGGACTCTTGATAATAACGAAATCGCAAAAGAAACGCGATTCTGAATTCAGTTTCGGTGATCTATCTGATAAGTGTGCGTTGGGAGGGAGATCGTATTGAGCGACTTTGCCGACGAGAAAGTAGTCGGAAATTGGGGGCGAGGCGCTGCCTTGCGCTACCTGAGACTGATCTTTTGGCGACAGCGCTTAGAGAGTGTGGGTGGGATGCTAGCCGGGGCAGGGATGCACCACGCCTAGGCTGTGGAGCAGTGTAAGACAGCTCACAGGGGCCTGATTGAGGGAACTTGGGGCATTTAGCGAGGGGCAGCGATGCCAGCACCGGTATATTGGTCAGGGATTAGCAGAGATGCTACTGAATTCTCGAATCAGGGTTAGTCAAGTCGTTTGCCCGGTATATGACTCCAAGTCTGAATAGAAAAACGGTCGCAAAATGCCACTTGATAGTTCGCCTTGACTGTGGCAGAGGCAGACGGCCGGCATCCAGTCTGCAGGTACGTCCAGAGGCCGTGGCGGGGGAGGAAGCCGACAGGGTCTCGCAACGTAGGAGGTGCTCAGGTGGTGTAAGATAGGCCACACACAGAGGAAGAGTGATTCGGAAAGGGCTTCTAGAGTGATGTTGGTTCAACTAGATCGAACGACCTGACCAAGGCTGTGGCAGATGGCAAGGGGGCTTAACAGCAAACAGGCCTGAATGACTGACTGACTGTCCTGGAGAGGATGGAGTGCATGTGCAGCTAAGGATAAGGTCAGAACCATCAGGTAGAGAAAAAGGTGGGCGCTGCGCGACACGGGCAGATCAGTGGGCTCAATTGTGCAGGTCTGCGGCTCAATGGCGGTTGGCCCACTTCAGCACCTCCATCGGCGAGGCGTTCTCGTGGCTCGCTAGGCGCATTTCCCTCAGCCCCGCGCTCCATAGCTTCCCGTCTGCCCATCTAGAGATTAAGAGCGAGGCATTCTCCTCTCCATCACGGCCGAGGATGACATATCAAAGCTTCCCGCCCTCCGCGAGCTTCTCGAAACGGAGCCAGGTGAAGCAAGGGTGGCTGGACTTCCGTTCACCGAATGGTTTCTTGGTCCCGGGTCCCCTGTAACATTGATGTCATTCCCGATGTGTAAAAAGAACCTAGGCATATGAGGAACTTTTGTCCTTAGTGGACGACCGGATCGGCGACGGTCTGTCTTGACAGAAAAAACACTTTCCGCAATCGGCCAATTTAGAAAAGGGAAACAGGCGCCAGAGCGCGAAACGCTATTTGCCGCTGCCTGTTATCCGCTTTCCGCGGTCTCATTCTTCAGTGATGGCCAGGTTCAGCGAAGACCCAGGAGCCATGATCGCCGTGTCAAGCGACCAATGGCTGTATACTATCGCGTGTCGCTAATGGAGTTCCCGGACGATATTGTTAAGCATTTCCCCAATGCTGTCGAGAGTCCCACATGTAAACCCCTGGATGCCAACCTCTGCACTTCAAGTTCGCAGCAGGGCTAAGTGAAGTCGAAAAACGACGAGATCGCCAATCATGCCGGTTGGCACGGCAGACTAGGCTAAAGGTATGCTTAATGTTGTTGGCACATAACGCTGTCGCCCGGTGGATGAGATCACATCACCTTAAGTTGTACCGTCCTTGGCGATTTTGCACAGCACATGCCGAACCCATGCACACAGCCACAAAAGAGGGCAGTGACTTCGGTGTGGAGAGGCTGTTGCTGTCTTAGCTCGAACTGCTTGATGAAACTACACTTGGCTGTTAGCTTCAAGATCCGTAAACCGCGACCTATCAGAAGTGTCGGGAAGGGCATCCGAAACAAATATCGGTCTCCCAGTTCGGAGAAAGACTTCGGGCGATCATTGTGTCATGAGAAGATAGATAGTCGGAAGATTGAATAATCACTGCACAAAGGGCAATAGCTCCAGTACCAGGTTTCGAAGAAGGAGCTAAGTCATGTGCAGCATCCCGTGACATAGAGCTCCGACAGCTACCGGAGCTATTGCGTAGTTGACACCTCGCTGCGGGACAGTAGACGTTTATATCCATCAATCCAAACACATCTGACTTTAAAGGCAATTGCAAAATAATCAAGATGGTGAGAGAATTGTGACATTGGCAAATGGCTCGCAGACTAACAGAGATCATAGGGTCTGGAAGTTCCGTCATACATCTTGGGAGCTCTTACAGCTACAGGCGGTATCGCCGGATATGCGCGAACTCGGTCTGTGCCTTCCATTGCTGCCGGTTGCACAGTCGGCCTTCTCTGTGAGCACGATACATTACTTCAGGTGCCTGAGCTCTGCTTTGTCCACAGGAACTGATCAATGGGACAGATGGTCTCGGCGGATACCAAATTCAGAACGGCAAGCCATATGGCATCGAGCTGAGCCTCCTAGCTTCCGTTGTGCTCGGTGGATCGGCAATCCCGCGAGCAATCCGACTCCGCAAACCTGTACCGATCCTCTTGAGTTTATTGGCAACATTCGGTCTGGTCACTTTCGGCGATGCTTTCCGTCGCAGACTATGAGGTGGTACATCTCTTCACAGCCGCCCGGCCAAGCCGCCATAATCACTGATCTCTGCTCCATGGTATACATACAGAAGTCAGAATGCGCCTAGTAGGAGAGAGGCGCTCTGCAATAAAAGCCCAGTGTCTTTATACTATACATTGTGTCCAGAGTCCCGGTTGCCGATGCTTTTTCCACGCTTCCGAACGCCCAAAGTGATTATTTTGTACATTGTAATGAGTCACGGTCGCAACGGCGGACATCGTGTTGTAGCGTAAATCATACATCTCATCGAAGCATGCTGCCGTGCAGTTATGAGTTTTCGTCAATATCTTTCCACATGTTCCTGATCTTGGTCTTCTTGTCCTGGGCGTTGTTTCTATTCGCATCGACTCGTTTCAGACGTTCGGCTTTCAGGCACAAGTTGAGAGCTTGTTTGGCGTCATTACACATGCCCATTGACTTCCATAAGAAGCCGCGATCGTGACATTCCTCGAGGGCGACCATGAGATCCTCGCAGGCTATATTGAGTCAGTATGGCCTGACTGGGAACATCGAGCCTACGATCAGACATACCAGCGTTATCTTTGGTATGCAAGTGTGGATGCATAGTGAAGAGGTCTCTGCCACACCTAGAGATATCTTTGAACAGTGGCGGACAATGCGCTGGAATTTTTGCCGTGACGGACAACGAGAACTTGCGATTGTTGCTGTTCACTGTCTGGTGAGCTTCCGAAATTTCTCGGATCTTAGTGGTAGCGCAGAAGCCAGGTAAAGCTTTGACCACCCCCGCCAAATCTGAGCTTAACATTCCCAACCTGCGAACTACCTCAATCACAGAAGCCGATTGAACCTCATCTCATAGCCACCTTGCACAACGCCAACGAACCAGTCAGAGACGAATTCAAAGTTCAGACAAGAAGGTGCAAGAAAAGCTGTGTGAGCGAACAGCAATATGTCGTCATCTCAGGTCTCTTCTAAGAAGCAGCAAGGTAGGCGTGGCCATTAAGCATATATGAGTACAGGCGTCTTTGATCGCTAACGACAGCTGAACAGATTTGCAGCTTCAGTACTCTACATACAAGAATACGCTGCAGCAAATTGCTCAAAAAATCGGTGATGTCGAGCAAGAAGCAGAGGAGCACAAGTCAGTTGGCGAGCCTTCCCTTCCCTTCCCTTCCCTTTCCTTTCCTACTCTACTGTCTACGCTGCATTGGCGCTTCGGGTTCTTAGGAATTGAAGCCCGGGATGCCATCCTGCATCAGAGCTTTCTTTTCCTGCGAGCCACACCGCCTTCGACGCCGGGGAGCCCTCCTCACCGCTCATCTACTAACGTTAAACAGGCTCGTATTGGAAACGTTGGAGCCGCTCTCGGGGGATCGAAAGTGCTTCCGCATGATTAATGGCGTCCTCGTGGAGAGGACGGTCAAGGACGTGGTGCCCGCCCTTAGGACGAATGCGGAAGGGTTGAAGAAGGTCCTTGACGATCTCGTAAAGCAATACAAGACAAAACAAGATGACCTTGAGAAGTGGAAGGCACGACATGATTCTACCCCCCTTCTACCAATTTACATTGCTAATAATTTCACAGAAAAAAAACAACGTCCAAGTTGTGCAGTCATAGCCTCAAAGACTAAATGCGTGGAGGCATGAGGGGAGACTAAAAGCCATGACATCGATTCCAAGTGCTACTCAGTTGCTTTGTTCGACGTGTAGGGGTTGATGTAGCTCGTTGGTGTTCGCCGACTCTTCCAAGGTTCAATGCTTTTTACCGGAAGTGCCGCGACTCGAGGATCTCGATCCTTTCATCATGAGACTCGGGGTAGCAGTGGCATCGGGAGATACTCTCTTCAAATATGAGGGTATCACGGCATGCAAACATCTATTCCCGCAGCCTGATGATGCGGATGACAGCTCAGCCATATGTAGGATCCCCACGTGGAGGTGGTGTTGATGATGAGTTGTACAAAGCTCTGGTGTGTGGCGGTTAAAGCGCCTCGATGCCCAACCGGCAGTCGGTTGAGTTTTGAGGCTGTTGGGCTCTGATAGGTTACCAATGAATCAGACCTTGTTGGCGACGGCCTCCCAAATGGCCGCACCGAGTTGCCTGTAAATGACCCCGATGGAGGGGTCTTTGCTGACTCCTGCATCACATACTGCAACTAAGTGCCTTAGCTACATCGGCCGCTATAGACTAAACCTGCACGCTTGATGCGATATATTGTTCGGCTACATTATTCAAGGAACATGCCTGATCCGCGTACGTAGTCCTAGACGACGGTGCGGACTGTATCTGGTGTGCATTGTCGTCGTCCATCCACTCCTTCCATTGTAGTTGTGAATCATGCTCCATGCAGCTCAATTGGAAAAACACTTGAGACTTCCTGACGAACACAAGATGTGTCTGACGTGCTGGCGATAGGTCGACCTGTTTAATTTGGGAATATGTCCAATCGCCCGCAAGGCTTACCATGTAAGAGAAACGGCAAGGAGCCTTGTCTCCGCAGTCATCGTTTTATGTTATTTGTTACATGTATGTCGGAGTCAATGTAAACACTGAGCTAACGTGGTTGTCGAAGTTGACATACTGCCAGCTGTCGACTCAGCCCATGCCGGTGTTGCGCATTGCTGGCACCGATTCGAGTTGGCTGGGTACTGCCGGGGACACAGTCAAGCTCGCATCCATGAAAGCTTTCCAGGCAACGTTGATGATGACAAGTTTGCTGAGATTCTTCGAGGTAGAGCCTTGTTAGGCTGGGCTACCTAATACACGGCGTGACGTTTCTGCATGAACGGCCGGCTTTCTTTCACACCATCATCGACTGGGCTTTCCCAAAAGGCTCTAGGGGCTCTGAGTTGTTCAAGTCCTTGGGGAGTCCGAAGTCCTGCAGTCTCGAGAGAGATGGGCTGGCGTCGCAACTGTCTTGTGAGTTATGACATTCATCAAGACGTTCGCCATCTTAGTCCGCTGGTGGCTTGTTCAGATCATCGCCTTTGACTACCTACCTATTCAGGACGCCTTGGCTCACTTGACTTGCCAGAGCTGTTACCCACTCCCACATCATTAGGCCATTCACACAAGACCAGTGCGATAGGCAGCTTCATTGGCGTTGACAGGAGGGAGGCTGTGACTTCTCCGCATTTACGACTGAGCAGGTGCCATGATTTTCTTCCAATGAGAGTTGTTGGTGATGGCCAATTTTCCTTATTGGAGGAATAACGAGCGAGTAGGATGAGGCTGCTATCTGCCTGTGTTCTGTGTTCACGCTTATTTCCACCGCGACGGTTGGGGAGGGAATGCTGGCCAACCACCCACCCGACCTCATCTCTGCAGGGCAGGCCTTCGAGCCCGAAATGGCCGCCATATGGGCCTTTAGGCACCCTTCAGCCTTTTCTTACTCCTGACACTGCTTAACCTGTAACGGCGATTGTCGAATCAAGCGCCTGCTCCACCCTCCCTGATATCTGCAGGCCGGGACAGACCACCAGTGTATGTCTTACCATGGCCGACGACGTAGCTCGGCTCCAGCTCTGGAGGGAAGCGATGAACTACTACTACATCACACGCACGACGTCAAGTCGAGGTCCATTGCCGTTCATTCCGCTTGGGGATCGTCGTTGATGTCAGAGCTCATGTTCAGAAATGACCAAGCGCTTGCCTGATAGAAGCACCTGGCTGGCAACCCACACCGCCGGACACGGGAAGTGCCCCATTGCTTGCTGAGCAACGAGGGGTACATCTGCGCTGGCTGCAATACTACACCGCACGACGTTGGTGGATGCATCGCATAGAACCGGTGGATACGGAGAACTTGGTATATGGAGCTTACTACCAGGACCCGATCCGACAAACCTGCTCTTAAACACCTCTTCAACGGGCCGGTGCATGACCATGGAGAAAAGACAAGGTCTGGCGGCTTGTAGCACCTCGCATGGACTACCTGTCGATATGTTTAGCCAGCCACTGTCTATAATGTAAGACGATAGGTCGGATGCGCCGGGTTTCGGGGCTATTCAGCCTCCTGGCCGGCCATTTCACACGAATTAGGACGGACGACGCTCTCGTAGATGCGGGCAGATGCTAGCTAAGTGATGAAAATCATAGTCAGCCATGAGACCGAGGAGGTACTTTGAAATGCGGGAAATCTAGTACATTTTTGGTAGGTGGAGAGGTATCTATCCCAGTGACGCTTTATCGATAAACCTGGGCTGGCCCCCATCTCGTCGACTTAAGGTACCTTGTTAGGTTGGTAGGTACCAAGCTTACCTGAAAGCGGCGGCGGCGATGGATGGAAGGCCCCATGTTTTTGTTGTTGACCGCAAGCTCACCCGTGGTCAAGACCCGCTCGGCCGCATCTCTGCGCTCTTTACCTTTCTCCCTCCTGCAAACCCCACGCACGTACAGTCCTTGCAGCCATCCAACCTACCTACCGACCGACCGACCGCCTAACACTCTGCGTCTCTCTGCTGCTGCATTGCGCTCAGCATCTCGAGGCGCCATTTGACCTGACCTGACCTGATCTGGCCTGACTCGATTGACTAACGTAGCCTACCTTACGTTTGGCGGTTTGCGCGACCATCGGCCTCCAATTGCAAAGCGGGTGAGTGAACAACAAACAGCCCTGTCTATTCCTGTCGCAAAGGTGGCATATGCGGCCTTCTGTGCTCTTATACTGGTAGTGTGTGTCTGTGTATGGTGGATGGAGCGCTTGCTTGTCTCGCCTTGCTTGCCTGGCTTGCAGTCCGTTCCGTCGTCGTCTGGCGCAACACGCCGCAAAGCAACAACGGGTGTTTTGCGCTCCCGTCCTCCCATGCGCTGGTCTTCCCATTCGGGCAACGTAACCTAGAGGACCACTCTGTTTCTGACGCGACTTTGCAGATATCCACGAGGCACACACAGGCTCTGTGGATGCCCAGCCAATCTTCCCGACCCGCACATCCCTTCTCCCGCTGCCAAAGCTCTCCTCTTCCGGGATAGGTAGACATACATACCTTTAGACACGAGAAGACCAGACTACCACCCATCTCCCTTCCACATACAGGAGGCAGCCAACCAGCGCCGCTCCAGGTCAGCAGCTCGTGTAACCCGTGGACAAGCATCTCTCCGCCAGGACACGCGCGCTCGCAGGCACGCACGGCTCCAGATATTGCAGTGACTTGGATCGAACCGGGGAACAGCGAGTCTCTTCCTCGGCGCCCCGTCCCAAATTGTTCATCCATTTAGGACAAGACAATCGTCCTGCAGCAGGGCGATCCAGCAGCAGAGCTACCGAGCGCTAGAGGCCACTCTTTGTGGGACCCGCAGTAGAGCATCCACCCCTCATCCCGCCTCTTTCGTCCCAAGCCCCGGAACGTCGTCACAGCCTGAACGCGCGAGCCAGGGCAAGACGAGTAAAAATAATCCTGGGACTGCGCGAACAGGGCACGACTTGACGCATCTCTGCAGCTTAAGCCGCCCAAGAGAGGAAAAAATAGGTCGCAAGCCTTACTACCCTGCAACGTGTCAGAGTGCCGGGGACACATCATCCCTAAACAGCTGTACGAGCTCGTCAGTCCAAGGATTTTTCAAGAAGCTCCCACCCGTCTGCAGGTAGCCAAATATGTCCGACTCCCCCCAATCCCCTCCCAAAGATGTCGAACAAGGTGTACAGTCACCCGACGAGGACGCACAAATGAATGAGTCTCAAGACCCACACGGCGGGCTCACCTATGAGTTAGAGGTGAAAGAGCAGGACCGGTGGTTGCCTATAGCCAATGGTGAGTTGAATCTCGTCTGATCCCTTCTCTGCTTCATCATGATTCGCCTCCCAGACCGCAGCTTTACCCTTCTTGAGGTTTGCGCTGCATGGCGACTCGGCGACTGTGGAGGTCTTTCCTTGGTCAACGACTGGCATCGCTTCTCGTCTGCCTCTAAGAGGACCGCGCATATATCTATTCGTCCATGTCTCACGACTCGTCTCCCAAGTCGCCGGAGGCGCCACCTTCTTCCTCCAAGGCCGACAAGTATGATCTCTACGATGCTAACATACGGAATTTCGCACCAGTGGCCCGAATTATGAAAAATGCCCTTCCTGAGAATGCAAAGATAGCCAAAGAGGCGAAGGAGTGCATGCAGGAATGTGTCAGCGAATTTATCAGCTTCATCACCTCTGAGGGTAAGTCACAGCTCATCCTCTTGTATATTCGTACAGCCAGTTCATCGAGCCTGACCTATCACAGCCTCGGAGAAATGTCATCAAGAGAAGCGCAAGACTGTTAATGGCGAGGATATCCTGTTTGCCATGACATCTCTAGGCTTTGAGAACTACGCCGAAGCTCTCAAGATTTACTTGTCGAAATACAGAGAAGTAATGCGATCCCATTCAGCATGATACAGTGTTTGCCAAGAGCATCTTGGCCGACTCAAGGAAGCTAGTTTCTAATCATTGTCGCAGCAGTCTCAGTCCAATAGGGGCGAGAACCAGCAGAACCGCCCGGGCAGCCAAGGATACGGCGCGGCAGGCGGTGCAAGTGGCTCCAACCCCAATGCGTCCGGCTTTCAAGGTGGCGACCTTGCTGGTCAGCAAGGAGATGCGTCTGACCCTGCATACATGTACGCTCAGGGTGGCCACAACGGTGCTGGAGCTGGCGAGTACTAAACCGATGTTCTGTGGCTCTTCGAGGTTACCAGACTTTCAGAAATGTTTCCCAATGAGATCGAAGTGCTTTTAGGAGGGCAACATCCTAGTGTTCGGGCTCCTGTCATCGAAAACGCGCCAATTGTGGTCCTAAACCTCAGTGTGTATAAGTATGTTGCCAAAGGTGCCTTTGGAACCTCCCAAGGTTTTAAGGGTTGGGATTTGATATTGTACATGAAGGATGGATAGGAAAGGGGCGAGGAATATCGGTTGCCCAAAAGTATGGGACTTGCTTGTTTGGCCCCCTGATTCTTGATAGATTCCCTAGGGCGTTCACATTCCCCTTCTCACGTTAGCTCAGGAGCGGTCCTGGGGCTACGTTATCTTACTTCGGCAGAATCCTCGTGGCTTTTGAGTGTAAGGAAACGGGCCATACATCAGAAGCAAATAACTACACGTCTACATAGCTTTCTTTTTCTATTTCCTCACTGATGTCTCTCATCAACCTGTGACCTGATTGTGCGTGGGTTTCTTCATCGGGCTCATTTTTGAACTTGTCACGCAGCACATGTTTGTCTCGGGCAGACCTTGTGCACCCAACCCGATACGCCTTGTGGCATGGAATTGCCTAGGCCGTGCAACTTCACGATACGTCGGACCAGAAACTTTCGATGAATGTTTAGCCGCCGCTCCATTTGGTCTTAGAAGATCACTTACCCTTTAACTTATTTCCTGGAAAGCTTATAAGTGGTGTGGAGACCAATCGTTAACCTTAAAAGATGATCTAATGTATAGATTTTTGAACTGTGTCTACTTGCGAAGGGGATGCTCATGAGCTATAATTCATGTGTCTAAGAGCATGAATCTTCAAATGGAATTATTGTATTTCCTGTTGTCAAGTTGACAGTCATTGAATCAAGCCACAAGGTGGCTGTCATCCGATGAGGTAATCCGACTCGATTTGGATTGACGCACGGACCATATCTTCCACTCGTGGGGAGAAATCTGGGAGGCGCGGTCGTAGGCTGCTAACAGCCCCGCCAAAAACTTCGAAAAAAGACTTCACCAGCGAAATACTATAACTCGCGGTCAGCACAGTAGCCAAGTTCTTTTGGTGCTGTAGCTTTACGAGAATTCGCTATCTTTATCTTCCTGGGTCAAGAGACAATTACTATGTCAACCTCTTTGTGTTTAGTGGTCTCGGCTTCCTTTTCTTACCCAATACACCATACCATCATCCTATCCCCAGCCTCGTTTCCATTCTCCCCGCCAGTCCAAGACAGAAGACGATAAGCCCTCTCGCCATGGCGAGTGCCACACCAGTCAAGACAGGGCGCCCGCTCTCACCCACGCTCAAGTCGAGCGCCACACTAAAGAGCATCCTACGAACAAATACGACGATGAAGCGGGCGAGATCCGATGACGACGACGAACCACCTTCGAGTCCTACCAAAAAGCGGAGGGTAGTTTTCAACATGGACCTTAATACCGTCCAAGCCGTGAGCTCGCGCTCGCTTGAGCAGACCAAGAAAGAAGTGCGGAAGGCCCTGATAGATCATGGCCGAGGAGAGGAGGAAGGCTACGATACCCTGAAGGATATATTTGCGAACGATCGACATGCAAATTCCGATTCAGCAGAGGACGACGATGCCATCAAACCGGAGGAACTAGTAGTCTATCTTGTCGCTCTCACGACATGTGTGCCACTCATTGACAAGTCATGCTCCGGTCTTGTTCATATCATCACTCAGGTGAAATGGCTTGGCCGCGATGATGCTTTCGTCAAAGCCTACGTCCAGTTCCTAGCGGCTCTAGTAAGCGCTCATGGGTCATACCTCGGTCACGTCATATCCATGTTTGTCGACAAGTTTCGAGAAACTAGTTCGTCTTCGTGGACTGTGCCTGGTTTTAACACCGTTGACCGCCGAACCATGAAGGAGAGACTTCACTCCGGTCTTGGCTATTTACTCGACCTCTTCCCTGCCGCGCGATCGATCACACGAAACGTCATCTCACGGGATTTCCCGTACTCAGACGAGTCCGCGAAAATCCACGTCACATATATTCAGCATTTGTTGAAATTGCGGGAGTACGCAAAGGATCTAGGACCAGATATCATGGAGCTTATTACGGACCGGCTTGTTAAGATCGATGTGAAGATGCAGCTCGACCTAGATGACCTAGATGACGAAATAAGCGCTGCGGTTGCCTTCCAGCTGAAAACCGCGGAAATTGGTGGGCTTGACGATGATGCCGATTCAGAAGAGAGCGATGTAGAGTCGCTGGCCAGCGACGATACGGATTACGACGAACAGGCTGCTCAAGTCAAATCTATTACACAAAATGTCCAGAAGATGGACTCAGCTCTCGACATCCTTTTTGAACTATATACCCCTGTGTTTGCCGACCCCTCATCACCCGAAGCGATGAGCTGCTTTGAAGATCTTCTAGCGGAATTTACAAACATCATACTACCGACAATTCGATCGAAACAGGTCCAGTTCTTGATCTTTCACTTTAGCCAGCGATCTCAAGCTCTCACTGATATGTTTGTGGGAACGCTCTTCAATATTGCCTTCCAAACCAACACACCCATGGTTTTGCGGCAAGCAGCTGTAGCTTATCTTGCGAGTTACGCTGCGAGAGGGGCACATGTGACGCCCGAAAATGTGAGGAGCATTGTCGACGTTCTCGTACAGCATATTGAACTGTATCGAGTCAGACACGAAGCCTCATGCCGTGGTCCGTCCTTGCCACGATTCACTCTGTATTATGCCCTGACACAGGCGCTGGTACGTCTTTCCCCTCTGTCACCCGCAAACAACACGTGCTAATCTAGAAGCAGCTCTATGTTTTCTGTTTTAGATGGAAAGATCTCGTTGTTGCAACGCCCGACATTGTTGACCCTGATGACGAGGTGTCTTACTTTGGGAAAGACCTCGAATGGCTTAAAGGCTTGAAAGAAACCCTACGAGAGCAGATTTGGTCCAAGTTCAATCCTCTCAAAGTTTGCAATCCGGCCATCGTTGCCGAATTTGCCAAGCTTGCCGGTCATCTCAGGTTTATGTATGTGCACGACAAGCTGCAATCCAACCGACGAGTACACCTGTCGCAGTTTGTGGCTGGTGCCTATGGGACTGGTGATGCGCTCCGAGATACTGGCTACGACCCCCATGACGAGAGTTGGCTGCAGCTGGACCCCTACTTTCCATTCGACCCATACCAGCTGCCGCATAGCAAGCGATGGCTCGACGACGACTATAATCCGTGGAAGCCAATACCAGGCCTGAATGGCCAAGACGAAGATGAGGATAGCGACGATGAGGCCGATGTTGATGATGGAGAGCTAGAGGAAGAAGATACAGCAACAGATGATGAGAAATTGGACGACTGAGAGCTTGTAACGGCTTTTTTTGATGATCTGCGTTACCATTTGCGTGGCGTTTTGAGGGGCTAGGTGGGCTTTACTGGCATGGCGTAAGGATCTCAAAAGACATTGGCAGGAATGGTAAAGAGCGCTGAGGATTATGCATAACAGCGATGCATCGGAGGCGTTCTGCTAGAACTTGCTTTGGACAGGCAACTTGATTCATAAATAGTCGTATATTCACGACTTATCACTTCAAGTATCGTTTCTGATTGTGCTTCTTCATGTGCTTCATTCCTAGGCTGTGCCTCAGGGGTTGATCTTTGTCTAAACTTTGTTGTCCATGATACATCATCCACAAGGTGCCGAATCCTAATCCGCGCTCTATCTTATATGTTATCAGTCACTCACATGGCTTGCGACCATCAATTTTCCTCGTCTGGGAATAGTCTTCCAAATCAGATATAGTAAGCTCGACTTCTTGATAAATGGTATTGGTGTAAGGGGCCTCTCGTATCAGAAGAGTCTGACCCTCTTACTTCCGGTCAGCGTCCAGACCAACAATCCGCAGTGTTCCGGCGTCAGTAAAGGCAAGGAAATAACGCGTAGGATGCCACGCCACAACAGGGCAGGAACTGGCCGTCTTAAACGTGTGAACGTGCTCGCCCGTCTCGGCGTAGTACACCTCGACGCCAGTGCCCTCATCGCTGCCGCCGACGAGATACATGCCGTCCCAGGTGAAGCTGAGGCTGCGGACGGGTCCGCTCATGCTGGTCATCGTGCGCTGGCACAGCCAGTCGGTCGTGTCCCATAGCGAGATGATCGAGTCGCTTCCGCCCGTGGCCAGGTACTTGGCGACGGGCGACAGCTCAACGCTCAGGCATGATGAGGTGTGCCCTGCGAGGGCGAACTCGTTGGATGTCGCGCCGGGTATATCATAGTCGTAGGTCAGGGCAGGCTGGAAGTCCGGGTAGGTCAGGACGCGTACTTTGCCCTCTCCAGTGGTGATGAAAATGACGCTGCCGTCCCAGGAGAAGCTGATCTGGTTGGTCTGGACGGGTTGCTGGAAACTGGCCCGTGGTGTTGAAGATGCAGGGTCCAATATGAAAATATTATCTGTCTATTGTACAGCCGTCAGCCGAACTGCACTGTCTAAAACAGTCAACACAGTAACTTACTTTATTACCCACGATGAGGGACTCGCCATCAGGAGCCCAAACTACCGTGAAAGCCTCGCCTAGGCCTTTCACTTCGTTAATGCAGGTTTTGTTGCGCACGTCCCAAAACTTGACGACGCCATCATTGCTGACGCTACAGAGCTCCGATTCCTTAACCGGGTTGAAGGCGACCTTCTCTATCGGAGCACCATGCCCCTTGAGGTCAGTGGAATAGCGAGCGTTGGGTTTCTCAGGATTCCCTGAGAGTAGTCAGTTTGGTAGATCTGAATGATAGGCAGGCTCGAGGTTTGAAATGTGTTCCCTCCTCGACCTTGAAGATACTCACAGACACGAAGACTTTTGTCTGTAGCCCCAACAGCTATCAAGCTGCCTGTGGCATTCCAAGCAATTGTGCGGATGGTCTGAGAGCTTGGAGTATGGTAGGCCTGTGTCTTCATGGATCCAAAATAATTGGGAAATCGGTCCTTGACCAGGCTCTGCCTCGGCTTCAGAATCGGCGCCATATCGCGCAGAAGACAAGGCTACCCCCAAAAGTGTGGATTCTGTACTTTCCATTAGCAGAGAGCGTTTGACTCTTGAGGGGCATGGCTGGAGGAGTTGGCTCACTGAAGAAGCTTGTCTGGTCCAACAGGAAGGCGGACAGGTTCTGGGTGCCTGTGAACCCAGCAGACACTCTCAACGACAGCGTAGGCACAGCTGAGAGACACTTGACAGAGAGATAAGAATTGATTGAGCAAACATCGCCCCTTAGATTGGCCTCAAATGCGTGGGTATAGATATCGCAACTAGGTACCTAGGTAAGGCTGGCCTCTGTCGCTGGGCCTTGTCGTGGATTATGCAGGTACGCACGGTGCCAGCAGAGTTTAGGTCCACCAGCCACCAGGTCCCACAAAGCCCTACGACAGCGGCCCCACCATTGGAATAACACCCACCAGTGATGCAATGGTAGCACCTTTAGCAGGGGGTCACTAGGGACCTCAGCTAGTCATACCTACCTAAATCCCTAGTAGCAGCCAGCTGGCCGGTAAGCTTGCCAGAGTACGGACCCCAATGCTCTCCAGAACAGGATCAACATCACGACGGCAAACACACGACCACCAAATCTGATATGCGCCTTTATAGAGAATGAGTCCCATAATCAACGATATTGCACACGAATGAGGTCGACCTTGAGCCCTCGGCTCCGAATAGCCAGCCATGTACTGGCCGGTTGGAACTCCTCGGATCTATGCCACGAGCAGTAGTCAATCCGCCAGCTTCAACCTCGTCGTCTCTCACGATGGCATCCCGTCACCGCCTCTGCTCGAAGAAAAGAGGCCCTCCCTGCTAAGCGCCGATTCGGCATCAAGTCAGGAAGGTCTGGGAGTACCGCCTACTCCGCTTACCCCGACTACACCCGGCATTGCCTCCGTTGAGCGGGACGATCAAGATGAGCAGGGCTTCCCGCTGCCCACCGACCCTGTTCCTGCCAGCATACCATTGAAAGAGCCAATTCTGGCTCTCCGGGTATCCCGGACCGGCAACATTTTTGCGGTCATCACAGCAACCTCTATGACCGTATGGCAAGCAAAGGTAGGACCATGCTAAAGAGGAACACGATATCTAGGATGCTGACTATCTACAGCCAACCGTTGTCCTCGCCGTTGTTGTGCGATCAGAAGCCTCGCTCAAATCCTACGGCAGCAATGTCGATTTGCTCCTACGCCCCGATTCAGCCATCTTCGTGGTCCACACTACGTCGGGATTCTTGATCACATACTCACTTGCGACAGACCCCGAGTCTCGAGTCTACAAACCGCACTTCCTTAGTCACACGAATATTCAGAGGAGGAAACAGAGCCATTGGGGCGGCCCGGGCCATGTTGCCCCGGAGCAAATCATGTGGGGACCCGGCGAGGGGCCAGGCGTGCGGGACGTCAGTGTGCGCTTCAGAATGGTAATCAAGGTTGACGCGGGGATCGAAAGTGCTCTTGCTCTAGACGAAGAGCTGGTAGTCGCAACGCGGAAGCCCGCCGCTGTCCAGTGCATCCGGTGGACACCCGACAGCTCAGGAAGCCAGACGAGCACCGAGTTGCTGAGCCGGATGGCCTGGGTGGACAAGAAGGTCACGATAACAGAGATGACGCATGACCGGCCAATGAACCTCTCAACATGGATCACCAGTGATGGCAAGGCATATGCCGTCCAGCGGACGCCCAACGGGCAGCCAAACGGCGAGAATGGAGAGTTGGATCCCAAGAAGCTCTTCAAGGGGCATTGCTTTCACAATCCCCAGGGAGAGAACGGCCACGCAAAAAGGGCCGTCATCAATGCGAGATTCTCACTAATCGCAGTCGGCTGTGCAGATGGCAGTATCCAGGTATATACCGTCAGAGATTATTCTGGCAATATACCGACATCACACGTTCACACATTGCCCGTCTCGAGGTCGACTTCGGGGTCTCTGGCCACCTTAAGCTATTCTCCTGATGGGTTTTGCCTGCTTGCTGGATATGAAAAGGGATGGGCAACCTGGAGTGTCTATGGCAAAGCCTTGTCCAATAGCTTCAACGCAGACAGCGCTGTCGTGGCAGCGAACAATGAGCCATGGCTCTCTGGCGTCAAAGACGCCTCGTGGATCGGTGGTGGATCCGAGATTCTGTTAACTGGTCAGCAACATGAGGCTCTATGGCTCATGGAGATGGCGAAAAGTGCAGTCACGGGATGTTATAGCTCTTCAAACATGTTTCGGACCGTTCTTCAGACGACTTCAAGTGTCATGATCTATCGGGGTTATGACTTGCCAGATCTCACTTCCATATCTGCAGAGCCGTTCTTGTGGCATACCGCTAGGATACCGGCAACATATCTATGGAACCAGTGGCCAATCAAAGCCTCTATTATCTCCGCAGACGGGCGTTATATCGCAGTCGCTGGAAGAAGAGGCTTAGCTCACTATAGCATCAATAGTGGACGGTGGAAGACTTTCGTCAATGATGCTATGGAAAATGAGTTTCAGGTCAGGGGAGGTATGTGCTGGTATCAAAACATTCTTGTTGCAGCCGTTGAAGCAAACAAAACCTATGAACTACGTCTTTATTCCAGGGACAGGGATTTAGACAATACATCAGTTCTTCATGTACAGCGGATGCCATCTCCAGTCGTTCTTATCACGCCATCTGGGGAAGATTCTCTGTTGGTGTATACGTACGACAATCTGCTATATCATTTTATTTTCGCGCCTGTCTCGGGATCCGTACGCCTGGTACAGGTTGGCCAGATCGCCTTTCATGGCATCGTACGGTCACCAGCCAGAGTCAGGGGTCTGAGTTGGGTGTTACCGGAAAGTCAGCTTGTGGACGGAGATCCGTCGCAAGATGTCGCAGTTGCATCCGTGCTATTCCTAGTAGACGGGAAGTTGGTGTTGCTCCGTCCGTCATTGAACGATGAAGGCCAGCTAAAATATGACATGCGTGTCATCGCACAAAATGTCGAATATTACGCGTCTATGAAAGACCAGCCGTTCTTGAGCACAATGGGCGGCCCAGACCCGGGGCAGTTACCGGTTGGCGCAGAGACAGAGGATCTACGAAACTCGCTGTGGATCTTTGATGGCGGTGAACTGAAAGCGTGGACGGACATGCAAGGTGTGCTTGAGGCAATATCCGGGGAGAATCATCGAGACTTACCAGCCAACGTCGTTGTACCTGTTGACTACTATCCGCTCTCTATACTCCTTGGCAAGGGCATCGTTCTCGGTGTCGAGCCAGATCTAGTCCAGAGAAGGGATATAAACTTCTCCTTCTTCCGCTTCTCGATACGAGTAAGTATCCGTAAATGCCCTTTCCTGCCGTTCATTTGCTAACATCATCAGACACATCTGTTTGTTCCGGACATTCTCCGCCACTATTTGACTCTCAATAGGTCAATACCTGCCCTTCACCTTGCCCAGCAATATGAGCACCTCGCATACTTTGCACATGGTCTCGAGATTCTCCTACATCAAGTGCTCGATGAGGAAGTCGATACCTCCCCTCCACCATCTCCTGAAAATGCCATCTTGCCTCGCGTGCTGTCGTTGCTCTCTTCATTCCGCCAATATCTTGATATTGTCGTGCAGTGCACCCGGAAAACAGAAGTCCGGTCGTGGCGTACGCTGTTTGCCTATTTGCCGCCACCACAGGAGCTCTTCGAAGAAAGCCTTCTACGCGGAAGCCTAAAGACTGCCGGCGGGTATTTGCTGATACTACACACCTTCGATGAGCTGGCGACAGCCAGCGAGCAGAGCGTGAGGCTGCTGAGCCGAGCCATGAATGAAGGTGATTGGGAATTGTGCAAGGAGCTAGCGCGCTTCCTTGCGGCCCTCGACGAAAGCGGGGACACACTCCGTGAAGCGATGGAGATGGTGAATGTGAAGACACAGTCGGAGAGCCCGATTGGCAATCTTATAGCGAGGCTTGAAGTCCCGCATCGGAGGCTCAATGGCTCCGGGCATGGACGGCAGTCCGGAAGCGACTCGGATGCACAGTCCAACAGTGACACTGCAAGCATCGGATCGCTGAGTCCATCGGATACGAGCACCGCTACCGGTAGATGAAGAGATATCAGCCTCCTCCATGATCACTGGTTGTGATGCTTGACAACATGAAGACTACAGGTCTTCAGATACTTTGGATACCCGTCGATTAGGATACACATGCAGCGTCAATAGTACCATCATCATTAAAGACTTGCGTAGCCTCGATATCGTTTAGAAAGGGGAAACCCCCATTGAAATACGGAAAGTAAACATAACCCGGGGTCCATTACTTTACCGCCGTACTTTACACTATTGCCATACTGATTTTGGGTATCATCACATTTTCCTGTACAAAACCAAATCCCCTTACCGATCCATCCACCCCCATATCCAGATATAGATTCCAGTCTACGACATCCTCGAGGGGCCTGATGCCACTGACACACTCTGTCGTCTCCCCCTCCTTCTGATTTCTCTCCATTTGTCCTTGATAGTAATGACCTCGCCCTCCGCCCGTGCCCTGTCCCGTCCCTCACCGAGGTCCTCGAGATTCTTATTCTCAAGCTTCCTATGGCCATTGCCATCGCTCGTCCATCGCTGCACATCGGGTAGATACGCCCAGGAATAGAGCGCCCCGAACGCCATAAACGAGCCGAAGAGCAGGAAAATCAAGCCCTGCCTCTTCGAGTTGTTGTAGCCCGCATTGATGCCGTATACAACGACCACGGCCACCATGCTCCCGAGCTTCCCGGCTGCGGCGGATATGCCGTGGCATGTGCATCGATAGGTGGTCGGGAAGATTTCGGCGGGTATTATGAAGGTGAGGGTGTTGGCGCCTATTCAAGGGTGAGCTGAGTGTTGCCCATGCATCAGAGACCCCAGTGACAACTTACCAAAGTTAAAGAAGAAATGACAAATGGCAACCAGCACAACCGTAGCCGGAGCGCCCTCCTTATGCGCGACGCCATAGTAGACGCCTCCAGTAATGACGAATAGCACGGCGAGGAGCAGAAAGGACACGGTCAGCCACTGTCGTCTCGGCAGCCGGTTGACCGCGAAGATGAAGCAAGCACTGCCAGCTATCGAAGCGATCGATACAGTCAGCAAGTACTGTTTTGCCTGCTCGAGGAGAGTGTCGTATATGGTGTTGCATGGATGCCAGAAGTCGGTCTGCCATGACGGAAGACCGTGTTCTTTCCACATGGGAAGCGTCGAGTTGCCCCCTGGTAGAGTCGAGTTCCAGCACCACAAATCATCCGTGATCGAGCTCTTGCCGGTTGTCGACCACAAGTCTGCCAATGTGCCCCCCTTATCAAGCGAGAATCCGTAGAAACTTATGTCCAAGAAGCACCATGTCATTGCCGTTCCTTTACTCCTAGTCAATAGATATCCTTAGATATATCACAAGGGCTTACATACCAAGTAAATAATACCAGTTTCCTTCTTGAATAAAGTAACGGTATAGATCTTCTCTGGAGAACTGCACAGGCATGGGCTGTGGTCCGTTCGAATGAACGCCATTTGGCGAGTAAAGACCAATGCCGTTCATCGCTGCTGGAGGAGCTCCGTAGATCCTCTGGGTGTCCCGGAAGGCTGTTCCCGGCTTGCGCTTGACTTCGAGGCTGTAGAGACCGCAATCGTATAGGAAGAAGCGGAAGATGATGGCAAGAACAGCCGGGACGGCACCGGAGCCGATGACGATGCGCCATATACCATCCACAATCTTCTTGCACTCCTGATCGTTCAATGTGTTGATGCCGCATTGCTTCCCTGTCAGGTCGTACTGGTTTTCTCTGCCGAGCAGCACCCACACACCCACCAGTTGTGCTAATGCCTGTCCAATAGGCTGCATCAAGAAGACGGAGGAGATCATGGTAGCCCTGGAAGCTGTACTGGACCACTCGGAAGTGATCACCGCACTAAGGGGATATTCCGCTCCAATTCCTTGATTGCAATTGAGATCAGTCGTTGATCATTAAAATTGATACTCGCTATGAGTACTCACCAACTCCCATGACAAAGCGCCACTGCAAATACCGTTAGCCGACGATTATCCACGAAAGACGGAAGATAGGAGCTGCTTACCCAGGTGAACAAGGCCAGGAAGGACATGTCGTTATAGCCGTAACTACTTGTGGCAACGCCTATAGTCGACACTATTACTAAGACAAGCTCGATGCCGTATAATCGAGTGCGTCCAAACCAGTCGGCGAGGAAACCGAAGAGAAGCTGTCCGACCACCGAGCCGAAGAGTGTAAAGAGGTTGATGACAACGCCAGGCCATCTTTGCCCAGGGAAGTAGACATATGAGATGGACGTCAGGATAACATTGCTTGCAAAGAGGTTGTATCTAAGGGTCACTGTTAGAAACAATCGTAGTCGTTGTGCTACGAATGCACAAGGTCATGAGGCTCAATGCGGTTGAAGATCCGCGGCAGATCCCCACACTCTGGTACTACTTACGAATCAGTGAGGAAGCCGGAGGCTGCCACACCCCAAATCCGAAGATTCCAGGAGTTGAGGTCAAGCTCGTAACGCAGCTGGCGTCGATCCTATTGTTTGGGGGAGGCGTGTTAATCGAAGCATTCAGGCTGCCAACCGGGTGAAGGAGGGGCAGACTCACTTGGCGATCTTGCGAGTTGAGCGCAGAACTGTCCGGCCCTAAGAAGCCGCGATTTCGCTTCTCAATGTCGGCATACATGTCGGAGGAAGACATGTTTCCTGTGCTCTAATTAGGACAAGTCCACGGGCATGCCATTGGCATTCTGATGGGTGCCTATCCCATGCGGTAAAACGAAGTGGAAATCCGCGCACTCTCGTTCACTCGGCGTAGATTCCCCTCTGTAGCCCGCGAGCCAGAGCTCGGACGCCTGTGTTTACGGACCTGCGGCAGCGAGATATATCAGAGTAGATGGTCAGAATAAGCACGGCAGAGCCAATTTTAATTGGCAATGCGAGAGTTCCAGACAGGAGGATGGAGGGAGGAAGCATTCAATAAGGATTGTCCGGCATCAAGGTGAAGAGGCAGCCTCCTGGGGTATAGTTATGGTATGGGGTCATGCACTGTATCTTACTTAGTTCACCCAGCTGGATCCCAGACTGCCTTAGCGTCTCCTGGTGGGAGCACCACCCCCAACTCCGACACAAACAGGCTCGGTTCCAATGATGAAAGACCTGGGCATCAGGGTTGAGTAGAGTGGTATGGTGTGTGCCAATGGGTTGCATGCACTGTTCTGGATTCGCGGCAGGGATTCGAGATGATTGTGGCGCCCCTACTGTTCCTACATGGTCCTTGGCGTGATCGCTCCGTTGTGAAGAGTAATCCTACTATGGTAGCTATCGACATGCTAACTCTTCGATGGCTTATCAATACTGCCCGACTTGAATTCGGGAGCTATGAAGCCAAGGCTCTTGGTTGTTACAGATTACATAGGAGTTGTTGCAGCTCGATGCTTTCTACTGCGTATTACCGATACTTACACCACGAGGACGGTCCGGCCCAGAGCCCCAGTCACCACCCGTATCGCTCTAGATCGAGCATCCATGTTTAGCACAGATTCGACTTTGCCTGTCCCGTGTCAGCAGTTGGGCAGAAAGCTCCTTGGGCTGCTTCAAGGTATAGAACCGGTCGCGGAGCAAGCTGTTGTGAGAGACGCCTGTATATCACCCGATCACTATCAGACCGACTTTCTGCTCTGCTCTGCAAGGCAAGGCAAGACAGCACCCGACCATATAGAAGAGACGCTATTGAATATGTTCTGTTGCCACGCGATCCCGCCTGAAGGTTCGGTAGCTGTTAACCGTCCCCGATCTGCCTTGCAGCGCTTCGTACGTGGAAGGAGGTGCATACCGTCGCATACCGGCTGCTTAGACCGACCCGACCGGGCAAGATATGGTATCACTCCTTGTCGTTTGAGTCGTGCCCGTCTTTCAGCTGCGCAGTGCAGTCCAGACCTTACCCCAGCCTAATGATGGTCTAGGCCATGCAAATCCATTGTGACCACAGCTCATCCGGAGCATCCCGGTTGGCAGGTATGATCGGATCCAGAGACACGGTTGCGATTGCGGAGCATTGGGCATATATATTGCAGCAGACACCTGCAGAAGTACCTTCCCCTGATCTGGCACCCGAGGTGAACTGCCGCCTTTGGGAGCGAATGATACAGCGGTTGAAAGGGAGACGGAGATAGATGGGGGTCAAACCCTATCACATCTTCCACCCACTGTGAGAGCAGGGGGTTGCTGTCTCCGCGATTGTCAAGTATCGTAGGATTTTCATCTATCCGACTCCAATTGCTTAGTCACGACAATCTGGCTCGAAGCCCGCGAACCCAGAATCATAACCAATGTGCGCCTTGACAGTTTATTAAAGCCTTGGTGATTTGAATTTTGTCTGTGAGGCCGACCTCATCGAGACAATGCCAGCCGAGGACCCTGCCATGGCCATTGTTATGACGCGGGGAGGCCAGGATGGCATTGATCATATTTTACAAACCAGCGATCTGGATAACCTCCCATTGCATCGAGAACTGCAGGGACTGGCGAGGTGGCAGACTACATTAGTGTAGTCCTTCTTCGAGGTTCCGAAACCTGACACTCGGGATCGTCACGAGGAGGCCATTGGTGGGTATCGCGCCCTGAGCGGCTGCTCTGAGCATGCCCTGCGCACTGTCGGGGAGGGAGTATCCCCAGCTCTGGTCTTCATGCCCCCCGGCGTGGGAGGCTGATTGATGGCTGTAGAAACCGCTGAAGACGTGGAACGGATGTCGTGGGAAGCGGAAGGGGATGGGGCCGCGCTATCGAACTACCCGGGACTAGGGCCATTGGCAGTTGTCATCGCTAACGAGATACTGTGGGGCATCCGCCGCCATCTTTTTTTAGCTGGCATCTCAACGGCCAAATCCCGTTGCTGTATCTGACCATGTGCTTCAAAGCCCTGCGTCTAGTTGCTCAATCCGCCTCGAGGCCAGCGTCCCCCTCAACACCCGCCATCGCAACCAGCTCGGCCCTTGCTGCATGCCCTGCTCCAATCGCGGAATGCGGCCCCCGCTTTTGCCTGTGCCCGCCTGAACTGCTGGACCCGTTGGCGACGGTGGAATCACACACAGGTCGGCCATGAGCCCGCTGAGTCGCGAGCTTCAAGCTCCCGAGAATGCAGCTCGCGCTCGAGGCCTGCATACACAGCACGCACCTCTACAGTCTCTACTACACACGCTGCGTGGGTGAGCAGCAGCTTCTCTCCCCATAGCTTGCCCCTCGTCCAGTTGCCTGGGTCGGAGGTCCAAGCTGAGTGGCCGTCCTGAGGCTATCATCTGGGTATCACCGAATAACGGCCTGCACAAGAGCATCACCGGCTGCTCGGGGCGCATTTGTTCGGCAGCTCCTCGCGCCTGTCGCACGCACGCATTGTATCGTATGTTGGGGAGGACAGCCGAGGAGAGCCTCCACCAGTCCCGTCGCAAGGTCCATCCCAAGCTCCATTGCATCTAAAAGGCAAAGAGCCGCCGTCGCGGCCCCTAGGCCACCCCATAGCTCGAGGAGATTTGCGAACACTTGGTCTCCCGCCAGACATCTAGACCCTCCCATTGCCTGCTCCATCTCTAGCAGAGAAGTCGAAGTCTCCTGTTGCTGATTCTGCTTGTTTGAACCTCTTTCGTTGACCTGCGTACCGTCTTTTGTCTTCCTTCCCTCGCCGGCGGCGGCATCTTGTATTCTTCTGTGAAGCTCCTGGCATACACATGTGGTCGTCGCAGCGCATGCTACCTCCAGCTGGTATCAAGCCAAATTTGCTGACCAGAACGAATATGGGACGCCCGCATGTGATGGTTGGCATACACATCTGCTAGGATACACCATCTACCTACCGCAGTATCTACCTGCTTTAACCTCAAACCCTCGGCGGCGTGCGCGCGCGCACATACTCACAGACACACACACACACA